ACTTCGTTATACAGTACAGGGGTCGGGGGTCAAGGACAAGCACTCTGGAGGATGAGGTAGGTGCATAGAATCATGTAAATTTTGAAGATTGATCATGACTGATGACGTGAAATTGTCCAAATGGAAAAATAAGAGATTAATAGCACATTTTCTCAGTATTCTTCAGGTAAATAAGAAAGAACCGACCTGTAAAACAGTGAGCTGACAATAACATAACTGAAAAATATTCTACACAGACTTCACGATCAATTCCTTTGATTGTACAATGAAGCACATATGATACATGTGGTCTCACCTTAGGCAAGTGAGTTTGTCCAAAATTGCCTCTATTCACCCAGCATAAAAAGGGTACCCGGTGAAATAAGTTGTGAGACTATTAACCTTCCAGAGAATAATGATCATATTGTGAGCTTTGAGCACTGGATATCTAGCCAGGAAAAGGCTTGTTATAAATATTGTCATTATTCTTATTATTATTGATATGAACCCAATCATTTAACAAATGAGATCACTTTATTGTAACCAAACTGGTCATTCAACAGGTACACAGACCTGGTCAGTTGTTAAGGCACACCCTGTTCCACACCACTACACTGGACACTAACCATTACACCAACTGGCAGAGGTGTTATCCTGAGAGATACAACGTTTACCTCCGAGTAGGGAATCCTATCGTACAGCCATCACTCAGTCTCCATGGACACTGAAACACTTCCACCACACCACTGCTGGACAGTCAGTCTGTCCTAGTGACCAGCTACCTGCGTTTATACCTTGATCCTAATTAACACAGTGTTAAGTAATTATTGTACCTGGTCGTGGTATTACCTGTGGACAATCTTGGCCAGGTAATTCCCTCCATGACCCAGGTAATCAGGCTGAGAAGCTACCCCCTCCCCCCAAACACCAAACATGATCTCTAGGAGGGTAATCACCTTAATCTACCACCGAGCCTATTGCATGCCTGGCTGGCCACACAGTCCTGATTGTTACAATGTTACAACATGACAGCCAACACAGACACAGCACTTTCAGAGGAGACTAATTGTCCCATGGCTCTTCACTATGTATACATTTATGGGTACTAAACAGTACAATATATATATGTCTACCAGTAATCATTACTTTGTACAACATATCTATCAGGTACAGTGTAAACTTAACATTGTAACCACTACATAGTACAGTGCGTACATCTACCAGTAATCACTATTTAGGATAATCTATATGTCTACCAGTAATCACTAAGTAACAAGAAGACAAAGTCATCAATATCCCCCGCAATGGCAAAATACTCTTCATGATTATGTCTACGAGTTATGATTATGTCAAATATTTAGGTGTGTATATAGAAAAGTGGAAGGAGAGTATTGAAAGGTTTTTAAAGTTCTGCTCCGGAAAGGAGCACTATCACCAATTTCAGTCTATGTCAACTTGTTGCCATGGAAATACCAAAAATATTTTATTCAGAAATCTGAAACTACCAAAAGGCACCAGTACAACAACAGATCTATCTATGTGCCAAGTTTGGTGAAGAAACATTGAACGGTTTTAGAGTTCTGCTCCGGAAAAGTGCACAACCACCAATTTCAGGCTAAGTCAAACTTGTTGCCATGGAAATGCCAAAAATATTTTATTCAGAATTCCAAAACTACCAAAAGGCACCAGTACAACAACAGATCTATCTATGTGCCAAGTGTGGTGAAGAAATAGTGAACGGTTTTAGAGTTCTGCTCCGTGAAAGAGCACTACCACCAATTTCAGGCTAAGTCAAACTTGTTGCCATGGAAATGCCAAAAATATTTTATTCAGAATTCCAAAACTACCAAAAGGCACTAGTACACCACCAGATTTATCTATGTGCCAAGTTTGGTGAAGAAATAGTGAACGGTTTTAGAGTTCTGCTCCAGAAAAGACAAATGTGCACGGACGGACGGACGGACGGAGTCCATTTTAATACCCCCCCAAAAACGCGTTGCGGGGGATAATTACTGGTTGACGTATACATTATTCTAAATAGTGCAATGTACACAATCTACCAGTAATCACTACTTAGAATAATATATATGTCTACCAGTAATAACTAAATAGTACAATGGACGCTCGGTGGGTGAGCAATCTAAGGTGCCAGGGTAGGGATCCAGCAAGCTTAATGTGCCGGGATCGAGCCAACCTGTGACCGGGTGTAGAAACCTTGGAGTCAGCTGTATGTGCAGACTCTCTCTGTTGGTATATGACCAGATGGAGGCCACATGAATAAGTGCAAACACCTAGTTGTGGGTACAGCAATGTGCAGTAAACTTGGACAAAATACTGTGACTATGTGTCCCAGTCCACCCAGCTGTGATTGGGTACCTTGTAAGCATGGGAAAGCCACATTAACAAAGAATCGCCCTGGCTGCAAGAGTACCAGTGACTCACCAAGCTACACCACACACTCACAATCAAGCTAGTAATCACAGCATACTCACTACAAGCTACAATACAGACTCACCAAGCTACACAAGACAGACTCACCAAGCTACAACACAGACTCACTCAAGCTACAACAGACTCACCAAGCTACACACAGACTCACCAAGCTACACAAAGCACAGACTCACCAAGCTACAACAGACTCACCAAGCTACAACACATACTCACCAAGCTACAACACAGACTCACCAAGCTACAACAGACTCACCAAGCTACAACACTCAACAAGCTACACACAGACTCACCAAGCTACAACACTCACCATGGTAACACAGACTCAACAAGCTACAACACATACTACTGCACACAACTCACTCCAAGCTACAACAGATACTCAACAAGCTACAACACATACTCACCAAGCTACAACACAGACTCACCAAGCTACAACACAGACTCACCAAGCTACAACACAGACTCAAGCACAGCAGACTCATCAGACTACAACAAGCTACAAGCTACAACAGACTCACCAAGCTACAAGCACAGACTCACCAAGCTACAACAGACTCACCACTACAAGCTACAACACATACTCACCAAGCTACAACACAGACTCACCAAGCTACAGCACAGACTCACCAAGCTACAACAGACTCACCAAGCTACAACACAGACTCTCACCAAGCTACAGCCTGACTCACAGCACAACAGACTCACCAAGCTACAACAGACTCACCAAGCTACAACACAGACTCACCAAGCTACAACACAGACTCACCAAGCTACAACACAGACTCACCAAGCTACAACACTGACTCAAGCTACAACACAGACTCACCAAGCTACAACACAGACTCACCAAGCTACAAACTATTTATACTCACCAAGCTACAACAGACTCACCAAGCTACAACACATACTCAACACAAGCTACAAGCACAGACTCACCAAGCTACAAACAGACTCACCAAGCTACAACACTGACTCACCAAGCTACAACAGACTCACCAAGCTACAACAGATACTCACCAAGCTACAACACACTGACTCCAAAGCTACAACAGACTCACCAAGCTACAACACATACTCACCAAGCTACAACCCTGACTCACCAAGCTACAAACAGACTCACCAAGCTACAACACAGACTCACCAAGCTACAACACTGACTCACCAAGCTACAACAGACTCACCAAGCTACAACACATACTCAACAAGCTACAGCCCTGACTCACCAAGCTACAACACTGACTCACCAAGCTACAGCACAGACTCACCAAGCTACAAACAACAGACTCACCAAGCTACAACACTGACTCACCAAGCTACAACACTGACTCACCAAGCTACAACACAGACTCACCAAGCTACAACACAGACTCACCAAGCTACAACACTGACTCACCAAGCTACAACACAGACTCACCAAGCTACAACACTGACTCACCAAGCTACAACAGACTCACAAGCTACAAGACTACAACACAGACTCACCAAGCTACAACACTGACTCACCAAGCTACAACAGACTCACCAAGCTACAACACAGACTCACCAAGCTACAACTGACTCACCAAGCTACAACACACTCACCAAGCTACAACACAGACTCACCAAGCTACAACACAGACTCACCAAGCTACAACAGACTCACCAAGCTACAACACAGACTCACCAAGCTACAACACAGACTCACCAAGCTACAACACATACTCACCAAGCTACAACACAGACTCACCAAGCTACAACACAGACTCACCAAGCTACAACACAGACTCACCAAGCTACAACACAGACTCACCAAGCTACAACACTGACTCACCAAGCTACAACACATACTCACCAAGCTACAACAGACTCACCAAGCTACAAGCTACAACACAGACTCACCAAGCTACAACAGACTCACCAAGCTACAACACAGAAGCTACAGCACAGACTCACCAGACTCACCAACTACAACAGACTCACCAAGCTACAACACAGACTCACCAAGCTACAACACAGACTCACCAAGCTACAACAGACTCACCAACCTACAACACTGACTCACCAAGCTACACAACACTCACTCACCAAGCTACAACCTGACTCACCAAGCTACAGCTACAACAGACTCACCAAGCTACAACACAGACTCACCAAGCTACACACAGCTACTCACCAAGCTACAACACAGACTCACCAAGCTACACACAGACTCACCAAGCTACAACAGACTCACCAAAGCCTACAGACTCACAAGCTACACCAGACTCACCAAGCTACAACACTGACTCACCAAGCTACAACAGACACCAAGCCAACAGCTACCAAGGTACAAACACAGACTCACCAAGCTACAGCCCTGACTCACCAAGCTACAACAGACTCACCAAGCCACAGCACTGACTCACCAAGCACAAGAGAGACTCGCCAAGCTACAACACTCACTCTCCAAGCTACAACACTTACTCTCCAAGCTACAGCACTGACTCACCAACTAACAACACAGACTCACCAAGCTGCAACACACTCACCAAGCTACAACACTGACTCACCAAGCTACAACACTGACTCACCAAGCTACAACACTGACTCACCCACATGATGGTGTCCCTGTCGGGAGGTGATGAAGCTGAGATACTCCAGGGCAGGGGAGTTGGAGCCAGGGGAACAGTTGCGGATGTTCTTGAAGAACTCCTAAACCAAAAATGCAACAGCATTAAACGAGAGAACAAAGAATCTGAGAACAAACTTAACCTTTAAAGTCCAATCTACAGTGTTAAAATTGTTCATATCTACTGACATAATGATATCCTGGACAGCTATATTCCTCTACATAGTCCATTTCCCTCACATTTCCCCGTATAACCGCATCATTCCTAGTACAAGTGTTGTAGTGATACAGTACTGTATTGCAATACAAGCCCTCGCGATACAATATACTGATTTTCAACTCCTGTACTGCAATACATACTATTGTACAAATAGTGATTACTGATGTATACACTGTATTATTCAGTAATTACTGCTTCATGTATACATTCTTCTAAACAGTGATTACTGGTTGATTGTATACATTGTATTATTCAGTAATTACTGCTTCATGTATACATTCTTCTAAAGCAGTGATTACTGGTTGATTGTATACACTGTATTATTCAGTAATTACTGCTTCATGTATACATTCTTCTAAACAGTGATTACTGGTAGATTGTATACACTGCTGTATTATTCAGTAATTACTGCTTCATGTATACATTCTTCTAATGCAGTGATTACTGGTAGATTGTATACATTGTATTATTCAGTAATTACTGCTTCATGTATACATTCTTCTAAGCAGTGATTACTGGTAGATTGTATACATTGTATTATTCAGTAATTACTGCTTCATGTATACATTCTTCTAAACAGTGATTACTGGTAGATTGTATACATTGTATTATTCAGTAATTACTGCTTCATGTATACATTCTTCTAAGCAGTGATTACTGGTAGATTGTATACATTGTATTATTCAGTAATTACTGCTTCATGTATACATTCTTCTAAACAGTGATTACTGGTTGATTGTATACATTGTATTATTCAGTAATTACTGCTTATGTATACATTCTTCTAAACAGTGATTACTGGTTGATTGTATACTGCTGTATTACATTCAGTAATTACTGCTTCATGTATACATTCTTCTAAGCAGTGATTAATGGTAGATTGCATACATGGTATTATTCAGTAATTACTGCTTCATGTATACATTTTCTAAGCAGTGATTACTGGTAGATTGTATACATTGTATTATTCAGTAATTACTGCTTCATGTATACATTCTTCTAAGCAGTGATTACTGGTAGATTGTATACATGGTATTATTCAGTAATTACTGCTTTATGTATACATTCTTCTAAGCAGTGATTACTGGTAGATTGTATACATTGTATTATTCAGTAATTACTGCTTTATGTATACATTCTTCTAAGCAGTGATTACTGGTAGATTGTATACATGGTATTATTCAGTAATTACTGCTTCATGTATACATTCTTCTAAGCAGTGATTACTGGTAGCTGTATACATTGTACTAAATAGTGGTTGCTGGTACTAGATTATACACTCTATCACAGGTTTGATTCTGTGATCTAGATTATACACTCCATGCACTCTGGGTTTCAAGCTTGGTTTGTCTTCACCTTCATGCCCACCTGATCCTCGTTGAAAGATCATAAGAAATATAACAGAAAGTGTGACAAGAACTTGTGAATATATGCAGACTTCTGGGTTTTCCAGGTTGGCTATAAATAACAATCATGTCCACATTGCACCGAGTTCATTATGTATTCATACGCTGTGAATCGGTCACTTTAATTAGTGGTCTTAAACTGTCTATGACGATTTGGAAACTAGAATCAAAGACAGACGGTTGTGAATCACCTGCAAAAGGGAGAGAATTTGAAATGTTAAGTACTGTATGGGGATATACATCGTATCACACCCTTATATACTCAGCAGCAAACCAAACGTCAATACAAATTCAAAATTAGATAGGCACTGTAATCAAATCATTACAGAAATTGACATAATAACAAGGGGATCAAAACAAAATTTTGTGTACAATATCTTGACACATCAATGGATAACTCAGCACAATTTCAAGACATTACGTGAACGTTTGCAGTCCATTCAGACTCTTGACTCCAGTATCTTGTGTGACCACCACAAGCGGCAATAACTGCAGCACAGTGTCTATGCATGGAGTACACCAATCGATTGATGAAGGCCATTGGCACCTGGAACCGTACTCTGAGAAAAGCCTGGCCCACAAATCGGCTGTGTTCGGCCTTGGTATGACATTATTCAGTCTCCTCTGAATTTCATTCCAAAGATGTTCAGTTGGGTTTAATCAGGACTAAGGGCCGGCCACTGCATAATGTTGACACCGTTCTGCTGTAGGAAGTCCGATTAGCTCTGGCTGTATGGGCCCGGGCGTTATCATGCTGGAAAATGTTGTTCCGGAGACGTGCGAAATGTGGTATGACGCAGGGTCTGAGAGCTTGGTCGATGTAGCGCACCGCTGTGATGCCGCCTCTTCTCCCTGGACCAAGGTTCTGGAACACCACAGGACCTACTATCTGGTTCAGGCCTATTCCACCCCATGCCATGATGCTTGCACCTCCCCATGAGTCTCTTTCCATAACACATTGGTCTGAGTAACGCTGCCCTCATCCTCGCCATATTCTTGTTCGCCATTGATACGCAGTACCGACTGTCATCTGTGAACAGAACAGTTCTCCATTGCCTGTATCTCCAGTTTTGGTGTTGTAGGGCAAACTGCAGACATTCACGCTGATGACAAGGGGTGATAGGTCCACGGTAAGGTCTACAGCAATGGAGGTTCCCGCTGTTAAGACGTCGGCGCACTGTATCAGTACTGATTGGTCTTCCTTGTGTTCCCACTGTCTGGCAAGATATTTCGGATGCCTGCATGAAGGGATTCTGTACATGCTGTGGCACAACATGGCGGTCTTGTCATCTCGTGGAAATCCTTTGTCTACCAGTAGGGGACGATCATTTGTGGTGTTGGTGGCCTCGAAACATTGCTGCAGCCTGTAGATGGTCCGAACTTTGACCTGGAAGTCATTGGCAATGGCTTGTGCAGTGTGGCCAGCTTCAAGTCTTCCTAGCGCCTGGTTCCTCTGAGCTGTCGTGAATCGTGGCATCCTGCTGACATTGTAATGTGAATGTTTCAAGCCGGTTTGGGGATGCATTTTATAGGGATGGTCCTTGTGCACAGCACGTGCAGCATCAGCTGCATGAAAAACATGGAGAACACCGTACCATCTCCGAGGTCAGGTCGCGTTTTTGAGACCATTTCCTGGGTTCAATTCTGAGTTTGGGAAGGAATGTCTTTGCTCAGGCAAAGTTGGAGATGTTGTCAAAAATATACAATCAAAACATTAAATGAGTTTACAGTAATACGTTTCTGTGAAGGAAAATTCCAAACTGATGTTTCTTTTGCTGCTTAGCATAATTGGGATACATATCGTATCCCAGGCTTTCCATGTCATTAGACCTTAGATCCAAAACACACAACACATACTCCATATACCCTCTACATCACACTCCAATCAAGGAACAACAGTTACTTTATTAAGATTATGAATGAATCAGAATATACTCACATCATCAAAGTTGAACAGTGAACCCATTGACCCTCGCCTGAAAACAGATGGACAATTTTTAGTGACGCAAAGCTTCCATACACAAGAAGTGCTTACAGATGGAAAGGTCACGGTATACTCGCAACATGTCCTTGACCCCAATAGGTGCTGTATGACATCATGAAATGCTTGCGGATTGAATGGTCACAGAATACATATAACATGTCCTTGACCCCAACAGGCGCTGTATGAAACCAGTTACTGCTTGCGGATGGAAATTTCAGGTATACTCACGGCGTGTCGCTGGACCCCAACAGGTGCTGTATGACCATCATGGAGTCGAGCGCCTGCTGGTCGACGGAGCCCGTGTTGTGGCTGGCTGCCTGGGCAACACGGGAGCTGGCATCACGTGGTGTGGCAGCAGCTGTCTGCAAACAAGATTTCGTGACAAGCTAATTTGACAGAACATCAACAAACCAAACAGTTTAACAAACAAAATTACAAATGAAAAAGAAAGTTAAATAAACAGGAAATAGCAAAACACACAAAATCAACAATCAGCAAAAACATCTATTCAAGTTCCAGGATGCTTGTTTTGTTTCCTTCTGCCCACCTGATTATTAGTCTTCACCTTCTGTCTACCAGATTATCAGTCTTCACCTTCTGTCTACCTGATTATTAGTCTTCACCTTCTGTCTACCTGATTAATAGTCTTCACCTTCTGTCTACCTGATTATTAGTCTTCACTTTCTGTCTACCTGATTATTAGTCTTCACTTTCTGTCTACCTGATTATTAGTCTTTACCTTCTGTCTACCTGATAATTAGTCTTCACCTTCTGTCTACCTGATAATTAGTCTTCACATTCTGTCTACCAAATTATTAGTCTTCACATCCTGTCTACCAGATTATCAGTCTTCACCTTCTGTCTACCTGATAATTAGTCTTCACCTTCTGTCTACCTGATAATTAGTCTTCACATTCTGTCTACCTGATTATTAGTCTTCACCTTCTGTCTACCAGATTAATAGTCTTCACCTTCTGTTTACCTGATTATTAGTCTTCACATTCTGTCTACCTGATTATTAGTCTTCACTTTCTGTCTACCTGATTATTAGTCTTCACCTTCTGTCTACCTGATTATTAGTCTTCACCTTCTGTCTACCTGATAATTAGTCTTCACCTTCTGTCTACCTGATAATTAGTCTTCACATTCTGTCTACCTGATTATTAGTCTTCACATCCTGTCTACCAGATTATCAGTCTTCACCTTCTGTCTACCTGATAATTAGTCTTCACATTCTGTCTACCTGATAATTAGTCTTCACCTTCTGTCTACCTGATTATTAGTCTTCACCTTCTGTCTACCTGATTATTAGTCTTCACATTCTGTCTACCTGATTATTAGTCTTCACATCCTGTCTACCAGATTATTAGTCTTCACCTTCTGTCTACCTGATTATTAGTCTTCACCTTCTGTCTACCTGATTATGAGTCTTCACATTATGTCTACCTGATTATTAGTCTTCACATCCTGTCTACCAGATTATCAGTCTTCACCTTCTGTCTACCTGATTATTAGTATTCACCTTCTGTCTACCTGATTATTAGTCTTCACTTTCTGTCTACCTGATTATTAGTCTTCACCTTCTGTCTACCTGATTATTAGTCTTCACCTTCTGTCTACCTGATTATTAGTCTTCACCTTCTGTCTACCTGATTATTAGTCTTCACCTTCTGTCTACCAGATTATTAGTCTTCACCTTCTGTCTACCTGATTATTAGTCTTCACCTTCTGTTTACCTGATTATTAGTCTTCACCTTCTGTCTACCTGATTATTAGTCTTCACCTTCTGTCTACCTGATTATTAGTCTTCACATTCTGTTCACCTGATTATTAGTCTTCACTTTCTGTCTACCTGATTATTAGTCTTCACCTTCTGTCTACCTGATTATTAGTCTTCACCTTCTGTTCACCTGATTATTAGTCTTCACCTTCTGTCTACCTGATTACTAGTCTTCACTTTCTGTCTACCTGATTATTAGTCTTCACCTTCTGTCTACCAGATTATTAGTCTTCACTTTCTGTCCACCTTATTATTAGTAGTCTTCACCTTCTGTCTACCTGATTATTAGTAGTCTTCACTTTCTGTCTACCTGATTATTAGTAGTCTTCACTTTCTGCCCACCTGATTATTAGCCTTCACCTTCTGTCTAGCTGGCATGGGTGCCGTCTTTGGTCGACTTCTGGCTGATGAGACGCTGGCTGACCTCATTGACCCTGGTCGCTGCAACGTCTTCATGTATGTGTGACCTCCAAACCTGGTTCTGCCCCATCTACATCAAGAGACACACACATAGTGCATCAACAGACACACACATAGTGGATCAACTGACATTCATTTAGTTGATCAACAGACACACACATAGTGGATCAACTGACATTCACATAGTGCAAGAACGGACATGAAAGGTTCATCATCAGACACACAGATATTGCATAAACAGACACAAATGATGAAAAGCATGAATTTTTTTTCAAACTCTGCATTTTACTCTAATTCATCAAAAGAGCAGCTTCCAGGCTCACAACTCAGGTACCTTGGTAGTTCAATGATCATTACTCCCACAAAACAAACTAATGACAAGAACCAAATACTAACTTGTATCTGACAGTGTTTGGAGTTATCTTCCCTCGCCAGTCGATGGCAGACACCGACCTCGACGGCAGACCAGACTCCCGCTGGCTCCTCCAACTTTGGCTCATCAATCAGCAGACCTTTGACCTCTGACAGGCTCTGAGATTCAGGTGACCTTGACCTGTGAAACCAAAAATAAGACAAATATGTCATACATAAATAGGCACAGTGCTTCCAATGACCTTGACCAGAATTAATGTTACACAGTCATCCCTCACCATAACGCGGGTCTTGGGGTCCATGGATGACCCCCCGCATTATTAGACACCCACGTTATAGTAACTATTACAAACCGCGGAACAAAGGCCAAGTGAAATTGTATTTTCCATTGATTGTGCCCAGTCAAAACTATATCGTTTTGTTGGAGGTGAAAAAAAACAAACTTTGTAAATGAAAATAGATGTATGTACATGAAACTTGCAATCAAACACCACAAGACAAGATAATTCAATTGTTGTTCCTGTCATGCTACCTGTTATTCAACTAAGCCGGAAATAGCAATCAGCTGTGCACAGACCGATGTTTTGGTCCAATGTACCGGTGATTCAGTTAAAAAACAATCCGAAAATATAACATCAAAGAATTTCTATTCCATTATCAGAATAATTTATATGTCAAGCAGTTATTCTAACAGAGATCTTATATATTGCTATCATATAAGTATAATGCATGTTTTCTATGAACATATTTAACATAATGATAAGCATTGCTAAGCACTTTGGGTTACGTAGGAGAGTTTGACAAGTCACCGCTGACTTCCCACGGTACCTGCTACATTGATTGCAAAAACAAAATGTTGGCAATTAATTGTCAAATATGACTTCAAAGAGTCAATAACGTGGGTCTTGGGGTCAATGGATGACAAGGCTGTAATCTGTTCGTGATTGCTGAGAAAAATGTGAAAATTTGTGTTATCACAGAAGGTGCAAAAAACTGACCCTCACGAATGTGGTAAGCGGACGTTGTATGGAATGTGGTAATGCCATTTCACTCACGGTTTCTCCGTTGTTATTGTAAACAGTTTTAATGAATGAAAATGGGATTGAATTTAAACAAATAAATGTGTTTTCTGACATCATACATTGTCGGATGGCGGTGTTTACCAGCGCAATTACGCGGCGTGTTGCATCACAGCAAATGTTGTAAGTACTCGGCTGATGGCATGTCTTATAATGTTATTACGATGTTTCGCTGTTCATCTATTATTATTGAAAAAAAACCTGCATGTTTTAAGCATCTGAAAAACCATGGATATGTATGATAAACACTGTTAATTGCAATCCGCACTGAATTTCACTAGTTTACAAATTGATTAACCAGAGCTCAACAGTGGATTTGTAGAAGTGCTATTTTCGATGACGTGAAGATGTGTGATTGCTGGGCAACTTTTTTTTATGGGAGCCACGGATTACCCCGCGGTTTAACCAAATCCGCGGTATCGCAAAGAGCGTTATTGCGAGGGATGACTGTACATAAAGATAAAAGACACATGGATGGATGGACGGATGGATGGATGAAGTATACTGTTGTAGCATGTCTGTGTCATCAAAGTACAGTTACAAATATGTCATGGATGTCATCAATCCTAACAGATACTATGTCTGGGCAGTAGTTCCCTGCCCCCAGGAACTGGATGATTGTGTTCAGTGACTTTAACTGTGTTCAAGGAAGACAGACTTTATGCTGTCTTGTTCCAATCTATCACAGAAGTCATGAAACCTCACTGATATTATGTCTGGGAGGAAGTATTTTGTTACAAACTGATGACATGCTCCAGCTTACACTGGGGTGTTGGTGCGAGCTGATGGACTGTGCTGTCGAGACTGCCTCTTCCCTGACCTTGACGTGGCAGGACGTGACACAGCAGGGGTCGATGGGATACCTGTAGCTGACGGCTGGCGGAAACCTGGCTGAGGTCGAGGTACCACCTGGAGGAGCAATGATGATACATGACAATGATGATACATGACAATGATGATACATGACAATGATGATACATGACAATGATACATGACAATGATGATACATGACAATGATGATACATGACAATGGTATCACTGACTGCAGAACGGCATAAGTGAGGGAGGGAGTTTTACTTCAGTTTTATTGGAGGACAGCAAACATGGGACTTACAAGGTGAGTGAGTGAGTGAGTGAGTGAGTGAGTGGTGGGTTGGTGGGTTGGTTGGTGAATGGGTGGGTTGAGTGGGTGAGTGAGTGAGTGGGTGGTTGTGGAGAATTGAACCCAGTTGATTAGAATGATGTAATGTTAAATGTTTCATCCACAGTTACCGCAGTTACCTACCCTCTCCTTATGGGCGGACATGTTGCCGCTCACTGCATCCACGAGATTGACAACCATGTTAAACTTGACGTTGGTGCCACTTTCCACTTCAGGTTCCCTTTCAGAACACAGACACACATAATCAACAAACAACTTCACTCTTTAAATATGTGGTTCCAGTCATCAAAACTAACTGTTAAACATTCGGACCAAAATAAGTAGTATCTATTGTAAATACTTGTGGGCATGAATCCAGATAATTCTCAAAATTCAACCAGTTCCAGTTATGAAGATAAGCTTTTATCAAACAAGGCATCCCGAGTGGAGCTTTGGGTGTCTATCATTTAAGGTTATACCCAGCAATGTGCCAGCTATAAAACATCAGCATGTGAACAGTATTGTGAGCAAAGTCATCTGGCATTATATCAGTCCACCTGAGATGCCAACACTTTGGTGAAACCGATTAAAACAGAGCTGACTAATCACAAAACATAGTGCACATGAAATGGGAGTCAATACCTAAGGTAACTTTGCACAATTACACTGCCTTATGACCTTTGCAATAAGTTACTTCAAGAAGACAAAGTCATCAATATCCCCCGCAATGGCAAAATATTCTTCACGAATATGTCTACGAGTTTTGTTTATGTCAAATGTTTTGGCGTGTATATAGCAAAGTGGAAGGAGAGTACAGAAAGGTTTCAAAGTTCTGCTCCAGAAAGGAGCACTACCACCAAATTAGTTAAAGCCCAAATTGTTGCCATGCAAACACAAAAACACCCATTTTATTCAGAAATCCAAAACTACCAAAAGGCACCAGTTCACCACTAGACCTACCTATGTATGAAATTTGGTGATGAAACAGTGAACAGTTTTTAAGTTCTGCTCCGGAAAAGAGCACTACCACCAATTTCAGTCTAAGTCAAACTTGTATCCATGGAAACGCCAAAAATAGTTTATTCAGAAATCGAAAACTACCAAAAGGCACCAGTACATCCCAGATCTATCTATGTGCCAAGTTTGGTGAAGAAATAGTGAACCGTTTTAAAGTTCTGCTCCGGAAAAGACCAATGTGCACAGACGGACAGAGTCCATTTAATACCTCCCCCGCAAAAAGCATTGCTGGGGATAATTAAGATTCCTTGAAATGAAATGTTTTGACACATCTTCAAGATGCAAGAATTCAGTATACATTCAGGGACCTGGCTCCAGGTCTTGTTATCACCTGTCTTGCTGCAGGAAGTGACGACCTAGCTGAGGGGGACTCGATGACTTCCTTGTGTGGGGGTCTGGGGCTGACTTGGGCTTGTTGCACTGTGAGGGTCTGTGACGTGTTGAACGGTACTCGGGAAGACTGGTGGGGTAGTAGGCGTCCGTTGTCTGGTAGAACTCCTCCAGGGTCTGCTGCAGAAGCTTGTTCTCATCTCGTCCTGCAACTGCAAACACAGGGTAATGTGTTACATGGGGTGGGTGTTACAGGGGGTTGCCATTGCATGGGGTGGGTGTTACATGGGGTGAGTGTTACATGGGGTGAGTATTACATGGGGTGAGTGTTACATGGGGTGGGTGTTACATGGGTTGAGTGTTACATGGGTTGAGTGTTACATGGGGTGAGTGTTACATGGGGTGAGTGTTACATGGGGTGAGTGTTACATGGGGTGGGTGTTACATGGGGTGGGTGTTACATGGGGTGGGTGTTACATGGGGTGAGTGTTACATGGGGTGAGTGTTGCATGGGGTGAGTGTTGCATGGGGTGAGTGTGGCATGGGGTGAGTGTGGCATGGGGTGAGTGTGGCATGGGGTGAGTGTGGCATGGGGTGAGTGTTACATGGGGTGAGTGTGGCATGGGGTGAGTGTTACATGGGGTGAGTGTTACATGGGGTGGAGTGTTACATGGGGTGAGTGTTACATGGGGTGGGTGTTACATGGGGTGGGTGTTACATGGGGTGGGTGTTACATGGGGTGGGTGTTACATGGGGTGAAGTGTTACATGGGGTGAGTGTTGCATGGGGTGAGTGTTGCATGGGGTGAGTGTTGCATGGGGTGAGAGTGTGGCATGGGGTGAGTGTGGCATGGGGTGAGTGTGGCATGGGGTGAGTGTGGCATGGGGTGAGTGTGGCATGGGGTGAGTGTGGCATGGGGTGAAGTGTTACATGGGGTGAGTGTGGCATGGGGTGAGTGTGGCATGGGGTGAGTGTTACATGGGGTGGAGTGTTACATGGGGTGAGTGTGGCATGGGGTGAGTTTACATGGGGTGAGTGTTACATGGGGTGGGTGTTACATGGGGTGGGTGTTACATGGGGTGGGTGTTACATGGGGTGGGTGTTACATGGGGAGAGTGTTACATGGGGTGAGTGTTACATGGGGTGAGTGTTACATGGGGTGAGTGTTACATGGGGTGAGTGTTGCATGGGGTGAGTGTGGCATGGGGTGAGTGTGGCATGGGGTGTGAGTGTGGCATGGGGTGAGTGTGGCATGGGGTGAAGTGTGGCATGGGGTGAGTGTGGCATGGGGTGAGTGTTACATGGGGTGAGTGTGGCATGGGGTGAGTGTGGCATGGGGTGAGTGTGGCATGGGGTGAGTGTTACATGGGGTGAGTGTGGCATGGGGTGAGTGTTACATGGGGTGAGTGTTACATGGGGTGAGTGTGGCATGGGGTGAGTGTGGCATGGGGTGAGTGTGGCATGGGGTGAGTGTTACATGGGGTGAGTGTTACATGGGGTGAGTGTTACATGGGGTGAGTGTGGCATGGGGTGAGTGTTACATGGGGTGAGTGTGGCATGGGGTGAGTGTGGCATGGGGTGAGTGTTACATGGGGTGAGTGTTACATGGGGTGGGTGTTACATGGGGTGAGTGTTACATGGGGTGAGTGTGGCATGTCATAGAAGTTAGATGGGATGGATGTTACATGTGGTCGGTGTTACATGAAGGTAGTGTAACATGAGGTGGTGTTACATTGAATGGATGTTACATGGGGGTGGGTGTTACATGGGGGTGGGTATTACATGGGGTGGTGTTACATGTAGTGGATGTTACATGGGGTGGATGGTACATGGGGTGGGACACCCTGCAATGACTCACCTTCTGGCTGGATGTCCTGTAATGACTCACCTTCTGGCTGGAACCATGTAATGACTCACCTTCTGGCTGGACACCATGTAATGACTCACCTTCTGGCTGGAACCATGTAATGACTCACCTTCTGTCTGGACACCCTGTAGTTGTTGCTTGGTGTGCAGTTCAGGCATTTCACCGTGTTCGTGTGCCGTGTATCGCACATCACACAACGTCCCGCTCCGTCCAACAAACTCCAGCTTACCTGCAGTAGAAAACAAACATCCCACTTAAACCGTTACCCTACTGAGTGCATTTGAACTTGAAACAAATATGCATGGTCTCAAATATACAAGTGTTCCTGTAGATCACCTACAGACCATGACAGACTCTCTGACACACATCAAACTGGTTACACAAAGTGTAGCAAGGCCGATTGCTACATGATATCTGGAAAGATTGGTTTAAGAGAGCATTGATCTGCTCGCTCCACAGCCATTGTGGTAGTACAATCCCCATTACAAGCACCTTTCCCCTACAGAGTGCTCTGTGTAATTCCTTGTTCTAATGAGTGCACAATTTACTATTTAGTTTCACATGACTTCTTAACAATGCCTGTTTCCAACATCCCAACAAGCAAGTACAGAGTACTGACTGACAACGTCCTGGGTGTACGCCATCTCAGTGTTGAAGTTCTTCCAGCTCTGTAGGATGTCCTCGCGCAGTGCTGGAGCTGTGGTCGGCCGGTGAGACATTCTACTCACTCCTGGAGAACAACCAAACCCATCAGAATATACTATACAAGTTTGTTTCTTGATTAACGCCACACTGGGCAATATTCCAACTACCGGTATTATAATAGATGAAGTCAGGGCACAATGACACACTGTCAACCAAATCATCGACCACCTGACCACCAGTCTTTCTGGCAAGCCCTTCTGTCTGACCACCCAGTCTATCTGACCACCCAGTCTGTCTGACCACCCAGTCTGTCTGACCACCCAGTCTGTCTGACCACCCAGTCCGTCTGACCACCCAGTCAGTCTGACCACCCAGTCCGTCTGACCACCCAGTCTATCTGACCACCCAGTCTATCTGACCACCCAGTCCGTCTGACCACCCAGTCAGTCTGACCACCCAGTCCGTCTGACCACCCAGTCCGTCTGACCACCCAGTCCATCTGACCACCCATTACCACCCCGTTCGTCTGACCACCCAGTCCGTCTGACCACCCAGTCCGTCTGACCACCCAGTCCATCTGACCACCCAGTCCGTCTGACCACCCGTTCGTCTGACCACCCAGTCCGTCTGACCACCCAGTCCGTCTGACCACCCAGTCCGTCTGACCACCCAGTCCGTCTGACCACCCAGTCCGTCTGACCACCCAGTCCGTCTGACCACCCAGTCCGTCTGACCACCCAGTCCGTCTGACCACCCCGTTCGTCTGACCACCCAGTCAGTCTGACCACCCAGTCCGTCTGACCACCCACTCGTCTGACCACCCCGTTAGTCTGACCCCCAGTCGATCTGACCACCCAGTCCGTCTGACCACCCCGTTCGTCTGACCAGCCAGTCCGTCTGACCAGCCAGTCCGTCTGACCACCCAGTCCGTCTGACCACCCAGTCTATCTGACCACCCAGTCTATCTGACCACCCAGTCCGTCTGACCACCCAGTCCGTCTGACCACCCAGTCCGTCTGACCACCCAGTCCGTCTGACCACCCCGTTCATCTGACCACCCAGTCCGTCTGACCACCCAGTCCGTCTGACCACCCAGTCCGTCTGACCACCCAGTCCGTCTGACCAGCCAGTCCGTCTGACCACCCAGTCCATCTGACCACCCAGTCCGTCCAATAGAGAGTGGTTCTATACAATCTAGAGAGTGGTTCTATACAATCCACAGAGTGGTTCTATACAATCCACAGAGTGGTTCTATACAATCCACAGAGTGGTTCTATACAATCTACAGTGTGGTTCTATAAAATCTAGAGTATGGTTCTATACAAACCACAGAGTGGTTCTATACAATCCAGAGAGTGGTTCTATACAATCCACAGAGTGGTTCTATACAATCTAGAGTGTGGTTCTATACAATCCACACAGTGCGTTCTATACAATCCACAGAGTGGTTCTATACAATCCACAGAGTGGTTCTATACAATCTATAGCGTGGTTCTATACAATCCACAGAGTGGTTCCATACAATCCACAGAGTGGTTCTATACAATCCACAGAGTGGTTCTATACAATCTAGAGCGTGGTTCTATACAATCCACAGAGTGGTTCTATACAATCCACAGAGTAGTTCTATACAATCCACAGAGTGTGGCTCTATACAATCTAGAGTGTGATTCTATACAGTCTAGAGTGTGGTTCTATACAATCCACACAGTCGTTCTATACAATCCACAGAGTGGTTCTATACAATCAAGAGAGTGGTTCTATACAATCTAGAGCGTGGTTCTATACAATCTAGAGAGTGGGTCTATACAATCCACAGAGTGGTTCTACATAATCCACAGAGTGGTTCTATACAATCCACAGAGTGGTTCTATACAATCTAGAGTGTGGTTCTATACAATCTAGAGTGTGGTTCTATACAATCCACAGAGTGGTTCTATACAATCCACAGAGTGGTTCTATACAATCTACAGTGTGGTTCTATAAAATCTAGAGTATGGTTCTATACAAACCACAGAGTGGTTCTATACAATCCAGAGAGTGGTTCTATACAATCCACAGAGTGGTTCTATACAATCTAGAGTGTGGTTCTATACAATCCACACAGTCGTTCTATACAATCCACAGAGTGGTTCTATACAATCCACAGAGTGGTTCTATACAATCTATAGCGTGGTTCTATACAATCCACAGAGTGGTTCTATACAATCCACAGAGTGGTTCTATACAATCCACAGAGTGGTTCTATACAATCTAGAGTGTGGTTCTATACAATCCACAGAGTGGTTCTATACAATCTAGAGTGTGGTTCTATACAATCCACAGAGTGGTTCTATACAATCCACAGAGTAGTTCTATACAATCCACAGAGTGTGGCTCTATACAATCTAGAGTGTGATTCTATACAGTCTAGAGCGTGGTTCTATACAATCCACACAGTCGTTCTATACAATCCACAGAGTGGTTCTATACAATCAAGAGAGTGGTTCTATACAATCTAGAGTGTGGTTCTATACAATCTAGAGCGTGGGTCTATACAATCCACAGAGTGGTTCTATATAATCCACAGAGTGGTTCTATACAATCCACAGAGTGGTTCTATACAATCTAGAGTGTGGTTCTATACAATCTAGAGTGTGGTTCTATACAATCCACACAGTGGTTCTATACAATCCACAGAGTGGTTCTATACAATCCACAGAGTGGTTCTATACAATCCACAAAGTGGTTCTATACAATCCACAGAGTGGTTCTATACAATCCACAGAGTGGTTCCATACAATCCACAGAGTGGTTCTATACAATCCAGAGAATGGTTCTATACAATCTAGAGTGTGGTTCTATACAATCCACAGAGTGGTTCTATACAATCCACAGAGTGGTTCTATACAATCCACAAAGTGGTTCTATACAATCCAGAGAATGGTTCTATACAATCTAGAGCGTGGTTCTATACAATCCACAGAGTGGTTCTATACAATCCAGAGAGTGGTTCTATACAATCCACAGAGTGGTTCTATACAATCCAGAGAATGGTTCTATACAATCTAGAGTGTGGTTCTATACAATCCACACAGTGGTTCTATACAATCCACAGAGTGGTTCTATACAATCCACAGAGTGGTTCTATACAATCCACAGAGTGGTTCTATACAATCCACAGAGTGGTTCTATACAATCTAGAGTGTGGTTCTATACAATCTAGAGCGTGGTTCTATACAATCCACAGAGTGGTTCTATACAATCCACAGAGTGGTTCTATACAATCCACAGAGTGGTTCTATACAATCCACAGAGTGGTTCTATACAATCCAGAGAATGGTTCTATACAATCTAGAGTGTGGTTCTATACAATCCAGAGACCGGTTCTATACAATCCACAGAGTGGTTCTATACAATCCACAGAGTGGTTCTATACAATCCACAGAGTGGTTCTATACAATCCACACAGTGGTTCTATACAATCCACAGAGAGGTTCTATACAATCCACAGAGTGGTTCTATACAATCCAGAGAGCGGTTCTATACAATCCACAGAGTGGTTCTATACAATCGAGACAGTGATTCTCTAGTTGGTGACTCTTTACAATGTAGTTAGTGATTCTATGCAATAATATACATCAATACAGAAGACTATCCACTCTGTTCTAGAACCAGAGACAGAGACAGAGTAAAGATGTGATCTCACCATGTCTGTCCTCCTCGTCCTCTGGGTTGAGAGTGAGAGAGTGATGGGCATGGGGGTTCACCATGCTTGCCACCGAGTGGATCATCCGCTTGGGCAGACCAGCGTGAGTGTGAGGGATGTTGGTGGACTGAAACATGAAGAATTGCATCTTTATTGCTGAACATGTCGCTCGGAATCACACTGCCGTTGTTGTCAGCAGACATTTAAATAGCCTGACATAGCTGAACCATACAAGTAATCTTGTTATTTCTACGCTGTTAGCCAACCTGTGATTATTACTGCTCCTTAAGGCCAAACTCACAGATTACAGGCATAGAAGGCTGTGAGTGAGTGAGTTGGGTTTTAAACTGCTTTTAGCAATATTCTAGCAATATCACAGTGGTGGACACCAGAAATGGGCTTCACACAATGTACCAACCGCCCAGTGAAGGCTGTGAGTTACCACATATACCCAGAATGTAATTACAAAGTATACACAGCCCTTGAAACACATGGGACGTACATGTTCCCCTGAGGGGAGTGATGCGGACGGACGGGGTGTCGCAGTTGAAGTCGTGGACCCCTCTGCTGTGGTGGCCATCCATGTTCTCATCTAGACCATCATTGTTATTCAACGGACTCCCGAGCCAACTCCAAGTCCATCTCTGTGTCTGAAAAGTCACCATCCTGGTTGCTATGGGCAACAGGAGACTGAGGTGAGGTAGTGTCAGGTTGCTGGAAGCACAAATGAAAATCTGTTGCACTGTCTGTAACCATGGTAACAAAATTAGATGAAGACTAATGTGAATGCTAACTGTAACCATGTTAACCAACACAAGCATGGGTCACAGTGGTGGACCATCTGTAATCATGGGAACTAAAACAAAGAAGAGTGTCGTCTATAACCTTGGTGACAAACAAGTGTGAAGGTGGCTTAAACTTTGGTGACTATATTGTCTGCAACCATGGTTAAAATCTCAGGGCCAAAATTAGTATACATAGCTGGGGTACAGTTTGTAACCTTGGTTACAAATAACATGTGAATAATAGTATACTGTCTGCAACCATGCTAACAAACATAACTTTTTGCATAAACATAAAAGTTTGCGACTGACATGTTGAATTGGTAGAAAAAAACAAACATAAAGAAATGGGAACACTTCAGCTATTTCTTCTTAGTGTTTGTGTGTTTTTTTCATTGTGGGTTGTGAGGTTTTACCATTGTGGGTTGTGAGGTTTACCATTGTGGGTTGTGAGGTTTTACCATTGTAGGTTGTGAGGTTTATCATTGTGGGTTGTGAGGTTTACCATTGTGGGTTGTGAGGTTTACCATTGTGGGTTGTGAGGTTTATCATTGTGGGTTGTGAGGTTTACCATTGTGGGTTGTGAGGTTTATCATTGTGGGTTGTGAGGTTTACCATTGTGGGTTGTGAGGTTTATCATTGTGGGTTGTGAGGTTTATCATTGTGGGTTGTGTGAGTTGTGAGGTTGTGGGTTGTGAGTTGTGAGGTTTTACCATGGTGAGTTGTGAGGTTTTACCATTGTGGGTTGTAGGTTTTATCATTGTGGGTTGTGAGGTTTTACCATTGTGGGTTGTGAGGTTTTACCATTGTGGGTTGTGAGGTTTATCATTGTGGGTTGTGAGTTGTGAGGTTTTACCATTGTGAGTTGTGAGGTTTTACCATTGTGGGTTGTGAGGTTTTTACCATTGTGGGTTGTGAGTTTTACCATTGTGGGTTGTGAGTTGTGAGGTTTTACCATTGTGAGTTATGAGGTTTTACCATTGTGGGTTGTGAGGTTTTACCATTGTGGGTTGTGAGTTTTACCATTGTGGGTTGTGAGTTGTGAGGTTTTACCATTGTGGGTTGTAGGTTTTACCATTGTGAGTTGTGAGGTTTTACCATTGTGGGTTGTGAGGTTTTACCATTGTGGGTTGTGAGGTTTTACCATTGTGGGTTGTGAGGTTTTACCATTGTGGGTTGTGAGGTTTTACCATTGTGTGGTTGTGAGGTTTTACCATTGTGGGTTGTGAGGTTTTACCATTGTGGGTTGTGAGGTTTTACCATTGTGGGTTGTGAGGTTTTACCATTGTGGGTTGTGAGGTTTTACCATTGTGGGTTGTGAGGTTTTACCATTGTTGGTTGTGAGGTTTTACCATTGTGGGTTGTGAGGTTTTACCATTGTGGGTTGTGAGGTTTTACCATTGTGGGTTGTGAGGTTTTACCATTGTGGGTTGTGAGGTTTTACCATTGTTGGTTGTGAGGTTTTACCATTGTGGGTTGTGAGGTTTTACCATTGTGGGTTGTGAGGTTTTACCATTGTGGGTTGTGAGGTTTTACCATTGCGGGCACATCAAGCGACCCTTCAAATATATTCTGAATAACGCTCACTGCTGAGCTCATGATAATGAGGTATATTAGCAACTGAAATGTTTAGTTTTATAATCATTATCATTCTACTTCAAAGAACAGGTCAATAAATGTATAAAGTGGGAATATACATTCAACAGAATGTTAGCAGCTGGTGTGTTCACTGCACAATAATCTTGTTATCTCTGTCTACAGAAACACATCTCAAGCACCTGATTCACATGTGATCAAAGTGTACGATATTCTGGACTGCTGGGTGCCGAGGGAACGATATGACATTAGGGACTGTTGTGAGACATTAGCTACGTTGAGCCAGTTGTAAACCACACCACACAATAGCTCTGACAGACACACAGCTGTACATTCAGCCGTAGCCTTGTAATTAACGTTTTGTATGCCCTGATTGTTGAAAGTGCTACCAGCAAATCTGAATGTTCATTATCAGCCCTGCCTCACGGTAATCACTACACAAAGTGACTTGAATGTAGGAGCCACAATCACAAGAATATCTACCACTGGACTCAAAACGACATTTGGGAATACCTCCACATGAAATACACTGTAACCTGCAACCTGTACCACTTCATTACATACACAGGATTAGTTGTGAATTTACTTCTTTATCCTCCAACAAAATACATACTAGTACTGAACAACATTAGAACCTGACACCTACTTTATAACATATGTTACCTTTGACCACTTTCTAAATGGCACGGTGTATTTCATAGCTTTCGGCCGTGGCAGCCGTGCCAATTAACATTTATCAGAGGGGTACACAAAGTCCGCAGTCTAGACTACCAGTTGTCCGACTTCCATTTTTTGTGGAAGCCGCGGTGGCTGAGCGGTTTAGATGTCTCACTTTGTGTGGGTTCGAATCCTGGATGGGACTCAACCCCCAAAAAGTACTAGAATCTGTACTTTACAAAGAAAATGAAATCCCAAATATAACATATGTTACCGACTTTATTGGTAATAACTGTGAGGGGGTAAGTTTTTGTAGTTTCTTGTTGTGGTTTATTGGTTTATACACACAGCAATGACATGTTGGCTGTTTGAACATGGTCTTGGTGACCGATGTGAAACATGTGGCCATAAAGTGGGAAACAGAACAATCATGGCAGCGAGTCACGTGATCCCTTTAGCGATTACATGGTATTGGAAAACAAGCATAAACACATTGCTAAACAGGAAAGCGCATGATCATGAAAATTGCAAGTGTAACAAGAGTCATCAAGAGATGACAAAAAATTAGTTTTGGAGAAATGATTTGGATAAGGACACTACTATGAACAGTGTCAAAGTCAAACTTGTTGTCATGGAAACGCAAAAAAACATTATTCTAGATATTCCTAAATAGTAAAAGGCACCAGTTGACAACCTGTTGTCGGTGTGTGCAAAGAATCATTATACGGGTTTGAGTTCACATATCATGGGTAGGCTTATTGCTTAACATTGCAGCATTTCCACAAGAACTGGGTTGTAGTTGTCACACGATACACAGTTTGGGCACTTGAGGTGCTGCATGTGTCATCACACCAAGATGACACTTACAACAGCAGATTTGAGACTGCAGCCTCTACTAGCAGATATTTGTTCAGAAGAAAAGTGACAGCAATGACCATCTGTCATGGATGCCCTGTGATGTCACACTCATCATTGACTTGTTCTGTTCCAACAGTTTTATCAGTGTGAAGTTTGTGTTGGGGTAGGGGTCATGGAACGTCATTTTTCAACGTCATGCAATATTTTCCCAATAAAACTATGCCTTTTCATTTTCTGTATTTTTACCTGGATGTTAGCAGTATGATGTATACACATCTACTTTCATAACAATGCACACACTAGTGTGTCAAGTGTCAAGTTTTTAATTTGGTTGAATATTCTTGTAAAAATTATATTTCACAAGCTTTGAGGTCTGTACACAATGTATATCCTTATTTCCAGACTATTTGTAGGGTTTGTTTCTTCAGGAATTTGTGCAGAAACAAATGTTCATGATGTATTTTGATGCGATTTGCTAAAAAAAAGATGATTTTGCTTGTAACATTATCAGTGCATAATGAGCCAGTATCAGGCGACCTTCAACTTAGTTCTGACAGTCATAATAATTCTGGGACACACATACTAAAACAGGACACTGCGGAGTGAGTGAGACACACCTTGTCAGGTGAGCTGTGATTAGTGGACAGCCCATTGGTCACTTTGGTTTGGCGTTGAGAGGCAGACCGGCTCCTCCCACTGCGAGTGTGCTGGCTGTCCCGACTAGGGGGGGGATGGTCTGCGAGGGGACGTGGCTTTCTTCAGCACCTCCTGTGCTGCCTCGCGCTGATAGATCCGACCAAAGTGCTGCAAGCAGAAAATACAACTACATGACAAGCGTGCCATGATTCAGCACTACACAGAGCTTCAAAACCACATGCTTAGAAAAGCCAGCTGGACACTAACTGGTGGAGTAGAGACAGTGATGGACTAATGACTGACTAGTGGACTAGAGACAGTGATGGACTAATGACTGACTAGTGGACAAGTGACAATGATGGACTAGTGACTGACCGGACCGGAGTACAGCACATGTTTGTTGGCCAGGTACCATGTGTACACCTTCTTCAGACTCTCCTGCTGCTTGCCGGACTTCACTCTGGAACATGGTAAATCACATTCACACATGGGGACACAAAATAACATACACTGCAACTACACTGATGTATTAAACAGAGACTATGTCACTGGACAATGTAGCTGAACACAGATCACTTACTCTTTGACTTCACTCAGCATCTGGACCAGAATGTGATAGAACCTGGTGTCCCGCTCTGCCTTATCCCTGCAACAGAAGAAGGGACTGGAGTGGAGGTGTGTGGACAGACTGGAGTGGAGGTGTGTGGACAGACTGGAGTGGAGGTGTGTGGACACAGACTGGAGTGGAGGTGTGTGGACAGACTGGAGAGGAGGTGTGTGGACAGACTGGAGTCTAGGTGTGTGGACAGACTGGTATAAGTGGAGGTGTGTGGACAGACTGGTCTAAGTGGAGGTGTGTGTACAGACTGGTCTATGTGGAGGTGTGTGGACAGACTGGTCTAAGTGGAGGTGTATGGGCAGACTGGAAAGGAGGTGTGTGGACAGACTGGTCTATGTGGAGGTGTGTGGACAGATTGGAGTGCCCATACATGAGAATGCCGCATCACTGTAGCAACTTGCGGCAAAGTTGCGGAAAAACTGCGGTAGATGTGGAAATAGTGTGGAAAAAATGCGGTTTTATGAAAAGCCGCACTCGTTCCGCATCAAGCCGCATCTCTCTTTGCGGAAAATATGCGGCTTTTAACTTAGTTTTTGGGATCGCGACTTTCAACTCTGAATTTGACTTCATCTGGAAACTCTTCTCATTTTTTCTAAGTCCAAATTACCGCAGTGCGGCAATTGTGCGGCAATACTGACTTAGAATATATTTTACTATAACTTAAAAATTTTAACAGATGCAAACACTGATTGCAAAGTCAAGAAGATATTTCAGAACATTTTCAAGCTTTTTGGAGTGGACATGAATACACGATTACAAGTGAACACCTGTTTTGTATGAAGGACGGGGTCACACCTTCTGGTGACATTTTTGTGAGGACAGAATTATTTAAAATGTTCTCTTTTTGACTTGCCATAAGAACAAAGCCTAAAGTTAATATAAAGTTTAAAGTCAAAGATTATTTTCTAAGATAATACCAACCACTGCAATATGAATCAAAATGAGTGAGTGAGTGAGTGAACGAATGAGTGTAGTTTTACGCCGCACTCAGCAATATTCCAGCTATATGGTGGCGGTCTGTAAATAATTGAGTCTCTACCAGACAATCCAGTGATCAACAGAATGAGCATCGATCTGCGCAAATGGGAGAATCAAGATGAAAGAAGATTATATCTATATCTATATATGTGCTTAATCCAGCTGTTAAGACTAAAAGAAAATTTACAAAACGATTTACAAAACATACCGAAACAAAACAAAACTAGTTTGTACAAGGACATTAAACTATTTATTGGATAAATGATAATAACTATAGTAAATAATAGGGCTGCAACAAATACACTATGTGGTGAATATGATCACATTATCATGAATCTTGGGTATGAATACAAATAATTATTCATGAATACAATATTGTAGTTAAGTGATTTATTTACAAAATGGAACGCCCATGTTGACAGTTTTGATTTGTCACAGCAATAACCAGTGATCTCATGACACTCAAATTTGGTATGGAATAGTTATAGTCGACAGTACCATGTGCGGCCTTGGCAAACTAACATGACTTGAGCTACTGCATTGCCAGTACATATTCGATCCTTGCATATCTCACTTTCCAAAAGTACACAAGGGTTCAAGTAAAACATACTCCCTTACAAAAATCATAAATATTCATTAATATTCGGTTCTGGTGACCACGAATAATGAAATGAATTCATGAAGGGCTTCAGTTTGATTCACCGAAAATGTGTGAGTGAATCATTACAGCCTTAGTAAATAACCAAATACATTTTTATTGTTTGTAGCATCTGTGCATAAACACATGATAAATATGCACATGACCCTAAATATACCTTCCAAAGCTGATATTCATAAATTATTGTCACTTTAAAAGACACTTTTTCAGAACAGAACAGAACACACGATTCAAACTATGGTGAGTGAACATCAAACACAAATTTTACAGAAGGGAAACCATATAATGTATTTACATAAATAAAAGGCCTGTTTGGAAACACACAATAGCACTATAAGTTAATAGCGTGTGTGCAGATAAAAGATTTACAAGATCTTAGCTACCAGTGTATAGTCAATGTCCCCTTTATAACAATAAAGTTCATATTTGTATTTTTGCTCCTTAATCCAAAATTTGCTCAAAGGCGCAGGTCACAGGCTTGTTTGAACAAGACAGTCTTTAGCTCACTTTGAAATGTCTCAAAATCATTGATTTGCTGGATATTTGGTGGGAGTTCATTCCAAAGTGCTGCTTTGGCAAAACTCCTTTCACCGCAGAGTGTTGTTCTTGTTTTGGAGACATTTAGTTGTTGAAGAGAAGCTGACCGCAGCGTTCTCTGAGGTTGGTATCTGGTTTTAAACTATAATACTTTACATAGGTTTTCAGGACAGGCATATCACAGGGCATGAGATCTCAGTCCATTTCAACAAAGTTTGGGAAACATGCAATGAACTGTTCTTGTCCTTTCGCCATAAACACAACGGGTTCTTTTAGGAGCTGAGCAGGCACTGCAGTGATCCTCCTGGAAAAATGTGGATAATTTCTAAGTGAAGATGTAATTACGATATATGCATTATGTAAGCAAAACAAACCAGAGTGGATGCAAAGGAGTGATAAATACTGAAAGCACTAAATGATATCCTTCCAAACATTTATTTGAAATAAGGTTTTCCGTGATGTCATTGAAATAATATAATATATGAAGCTTTACTTTATGGTACTGTTGAACCACAGTGGCATGATGGAAACAATTTACCTGCTAACCATATTGGTCACATGACTTGAAAACCAGGATGCTGAATTTCATGGTACAGCAGAGCTCCAGAAAAGATTTAGCTAATGTAGGTATTGGGTCCACTGTATTTTTTGGGAGTGGGTATTATGAATGTTGAGTGGTATTTCATTTACCGTTACCGACGGATTTCAAATATGTACACATTTCAGTCAATTTTACACACCTAAGTATTGTGTCATTGAGTAAGTTTACTAAGCAGGTATGTTCTGCCTTATGTCATACCTAATCAAAACCAACTTAAATATAAGGGAAATGATTTTATAAAAAAACAGTCATCCTACACTGACAGTACAACACTTGTCCTATACTCACAGTACAACTTGATAGCAATCAACGTCTTTTTCATTACGCAAGCGATTTTTATAAGTATATTCCATATGCATTTGTTTTAAACTCTCTGCGTATCTAACAGTTTAAATGCGTAATTGGTAGGCAACAATTATTTTTCAGTGCATAATTGGAAAGTTTCTATACGTATTTTACCCGGATACGCATCTTGTCTGGGCCTCTGGTACAGTTTCATTTCACAATGAAAAACTGTTGGAATATGTACTGGTACAACTTTTTTTGTCATGGGAATAATTTAAGTACAATTGTGAAAACTTACTTGGAGCTGATCATCTGATAATGGTACGGAAGGAAATATTAAAACGGTTACACAACTATTAGACGGGTTGCCAGAGTGTTTGGTGTAAAATGTCTACTGGTGGTACAGCAAGATGTATTGTGTGTCATTAAAAAGCTTACAATTAGATCATTTTTTTTTAAAACCAATGTTGCAAGAAACAGTCATTAACTATTATAACAACTTTCTGTTATATGATGTTGGAGACCCTGAAAAGCACACAGATAACATCTAGATTTAATTAACTTTTGTTGCCCATAGAGATGACCCTCCTAGATAACTCACACTTTGTGGCTTGGACACCCAACATCATAGGCCATGCTATTCTTGAATGAATTATGTTAAGATAACTTACCGATGTATCTGTTCCACTTTCTGTATATGACAACATTGACGTGACAATGCTGGTCCCACTACTCGCATTGTATGTCCAACTGCAAATATGCAATATGTCATCTTATTCACAAGGAAGTAGTCAATGATGATGGCCCTTCCTCCATCTGCAGCTGGAGTTTCAGAGCAGAGCTGTGTAGGAATTTCTTTTCCTTACTCTTGTGCATGCTTTGCTGTAGAAGACAAAACCATGTCGAACAATCTTCAAAACCTTGGCTTGGGATGCTTCAGTTGCAGTTGTCACCTCTGTTTTATTGACATCCATATCCCTCAGCAAGTCATCTTCAACCACAACATCTTGGAGGGGTGGAATATACTCGCATTGATATGCTTGTGCAGTTTTGGGCGGTTTTCTTTTGCTACTAAGCAGCACCTTCTGGAAGTAAGCTTTCACTTGTCCTTTTGGCATGCTTTTCATTCCAAGTTCTATTTGCTTTTCTGCATGGAGTGACCAAAATATTTCGGTACAAACATTTCCTTTCCCATGCACGGACTGCAACATTTCTCCATTGCAGGATTCAAATCCAAAGCATGACCATGCCCATAATGGCCCCCACATCTTCACACAGTCTGCATAGTGCCATAGATTGTGAACATTTAGTCCAGCAAAGTTTTCTCCATACAAATCTGTTGAATTCTTGTAGAATGCATGAAGCAAGGTCTTTGCTCTGAGCAGATTCTCTTGGTGATATGCATTCCATCAGAGAAGATGGATTCCTTCCACTAAACAAGCAAAGTGTTTAAGGTATGTATGAGGTAGGATGCCCTGTAAACAAGGAATACTGTAGAACAGAAACCAAGAACGAATTTCAGATGCTTTCCAGCGATGATAGTTGTTCTTCAGTTTTCTAGGCAGTCTGTTTATTAAATATGGAGGTCTGATTCTTTTCAGGAGATGGTCTATGTCTTCAATTTTGTTTCCAATGAAGAAAACTTCTTTGTAGAACTTGGCATCAAACCAGAGTGAAAAAAGTTTCTTGTTAATTCCAAGTAAAACTCCATGCATATAGTCAATAACAATATGCTGCTGTGGCTGGAAGAAAGGCAAGCACAAAAGTACACTTTTCCCATGGAAACCATGGGTAGCCTTCCCCTTGACACTGCCTCAGAAGCACCGCACACTGAACTTTTTGTCCTCATGGTTACTTCATCACTGTATGGAAAACACCGACAATGCCCTTTCCTGATGTGACAACTTTGCCAGGTTCCTCACAGTAAAGGCAGCTACTGGCTCCATTGTGCTGCACAAAATTCATGGCATATGCTTTCGGGCTTGAAGATCCATCGAGCCAAGAAGCAGCATTGCTCGACAAATCTTTCCATTCACAGGGGAAACCTGTTCTGTATAACTTCATCATATCTTTGACAAAGGGTGAAAAGCGTGTTCATTGATGGCTTACAGTCTCCCTGCCATATTCCCCAAACAACCAAGTTCTTCTTCAAGAAAGCGTTCCTTTGGGGAAGTTCATTTATAGCCAGATACACTGGCCAAAGAAACACTTGAGGATTTGAATAACGGAATTCCATCAGTATTCCAGGTTAATGTGATGTTTAGGGTATTATTGACATTGTCCAGGAAATTGCCAGGCTCACACAACTCTTTGTACATACTACCTGAAGTGACATCACAAATACATGCATTGTCAGCATCGGTGACCCTCTTTTCAATTTCTTTTTGAATTTTTTCAAAGTTTCCATGTCTCTGAAGAATATTGCGGAGCTGTTCCTCACAATTGCTTGTTGCAAAACATACACGTTTCCTGTCGGTGTCTGTAATCTTTCTTGCTCCACAACCTGGGGTTCTACACATCAAGACATCTTCTTTAAATAAAGCTCCACAAACCCTACAAATGTCATGAAAAATGATCTCTTCATTTGCCAGTTTCTCTTTCAGTTCCAAAACATTTCCTTCACAAATGCTATTTTCTGGCAAATGTAGTTTTATTACATCCAACAGCTGCTGAAATGCCACACCTGACAATTTTTGTGAAATAGCATAGGCACACAGTAATAGCATATGTTGTTGATGTGATATCGGTGACCTTTGCAAAGTATCTGATGGAGGAAACACATACAAAGGTGGACCTAGTAGTGAGCTATTGTCTAAAGATGGATCCTCCTCTGATGAGACAGCAGACTCATCTGAAGAACTTTCAGCATCGGAACAGTCATCACTACAGTCCATATCCACAAGCAGAAAATTGTCTCCTTCAGCATCTTTATCTTCTGCATAATAGGAATTGCTTACACCATCATCCGCCAACGAAATAGCATTGTCATGCAAGTTTTCTTCCAATTCCTCTTGAATTACAGTAGCTGCTGAAGTTTCTGATCCATCTTGATATGATGCTGATGTGGGAATAATGTTGCTTGCGTCATAACCTGGTACATTCTGATTAGAAAACACTGGACGATCTTCTTCCTCTTTATCTTTACATGAACTTATTGCTGCATCCTGATTACTAATTAGAGAGTGATCACATCCATACATGGATTGAGTACTGCTTGGGGTCATGATGGTTTCATTCTCTGCACAATCCTTTTCTTGTTCAACTTCCTTCTCTTTCAGGTTCCTGGAAGTAAAAAAAACTATGAAAGATGCTTATCTCCTGAAGCAATTCCATGATATGCCAAATACTGACCAAATAATTGTATTGCAGTGTTCATTCAAGCATTTCTAAAAAGTGAGCCCATGGCCCAGCAGCCCTCAGTTATGTGGGCAATTTCGAAAATATTGTGGGTCATGTCAAATTGCTGTGACTTAAAGCAACACACTACTAGTTACTACTATGAATTTACTTCCTTTTTTAAACTTTCAATAGAGGTTAAATCCACAAGAAACCAAACATGTTCTTGAGTTTTGCTTGAGGTGCCAGGCGTTCCGCCCGTACCCTAACAGTGCACCATGTTAAATATTAGTGCGTGAATAGCAAAAGGGCCTAGAATGAACTCTGGTATTGCAATATATTAAAAAATGGTCTTATACACTGCAATTAATTACTTGTCCAATGAAGTAGGCACTGTTTGATACCAATAAAGACAATAACATACAACTGACTGGGAAGTATTGATTCCCCCCCCCAAGCAAAGTTATTTCACATTGTGAACATTTTGTACCCTGAAGAAAAACGGTATTCCCTTTGAAGCACATTCCTTTATTGCAAATACTAAGATATGCAATTTATGAATCCTCATAGGCCCACAGTGTTAAAATCTACATTGAAGGTAAGATTTTGGCAAAAACTATCATGCTCTCTGATGTTTTTGTTTTCAGTCTTACACTATTGACATACGTTTGCTTATAAGATATAAAACTACATGCATTCACTACATGTAATTTCAAAAATTGGTCTTTCATGGGAAAAAAGTCTTTTTTTATATTAATAGAATATATTATATATATTTATATAGAAAGCCTGCCTTGAAAGTCTGTAGCCCTATATGCACCACTGCTGATACAGATAGCTCACACATTGCATGAAATCCACTGAATCTCAACTTACCATCTTGATTGCGTTGATCTTGGAATCCTGGCAGTAGGACAATAATCATACAGCTTGTATCTTTTCGATGCAGTTCCAGCTAAAACAAATTGAACAGAAACAACTGAACAATTTAGATAGCTCTTTCCGAAACTGCAGTTGTTTACAAACTAAATTCATAATGAAAGGGCAACACATACCTTATTATACTCCTATCTTTTGAATGATTGAATTGTGCATACAAAATAGAGCCTATTTGTCATTGCTAAATATCATAAAATGGGAGAGAAGTATAACCAGACATGCCAACCCCAAAGTGTTTCAAACAGTTTCAAGGAGCAAAATTGGTAGTTTGACCATAAATTTAGTAGTCAACTAAATACTTAAAATCATGATGGATTCTGAGAAAGATAATAATCAAGAGTGAAGCTTTCATTGCATATACATGTATGTCCAACAGCAGATTTCCACATTATCAGCATTACATTTCTTCATGTCGTTTCGGGGCGGTGGGGTAGCCTAATGGTTAAAGCGTTAGCTCGTCACGCCGAACAACCGGGTTCGAATCCCAACATGGGTACAATGTGTGAAGCCCATTTCTGGTGTCCCCCGCCGTGATGTTGCTGGAATATTGCTAAAAGCGGTGTAAAACCAAACTCAGTAAGTCAGTCATGTCGTTTCTTTTAGGTAAAAATGTATTTAATCGACGAAAATGTATGTTTTTGTCCATGTATCTAAATTTTGATGACGTTTCTTCAAATTTCATAGAATTTCTAGTACAATCGTAGTGGTGTAGTCTGAGGCTAAAATTTGTAGCGACTACAATAAAATCATATAGTTGGCATCCCTGTATAACTATTATGATATAGAACCAACTTTATGGATAACAACTTCCTTTATTCGTGAGAGCGACATTTCGATAATGATTCTTGTACCACTGTCATACTCTGTATTGTACTTCCCAACTAGATGACTAACGGGGTCGGGTGGTCATCGTGTCATCGTATCCCGATTGCATAGATCGATGCTCATGTTGTTGATCACTGGATTGTCTGATCCCGACACAATTATTTACAGACCATTACCATATAGCTGGAATATTGCTGATTGCGGCGTAAAACTAAATTAACTCACTTACTCTTAATTAACTTATTATCAACTATTGTGCAGTGACTCATTATTGTTTCAAGTAATAATCAATGGAACGTATTATATTATCATTTCCCCCTCTATTTTTAAGTTCTTCATAATTTAGAACCAAGTGGAACATTATGATAATGGTTAAATGCTCATACCTCTCACTGAATGCACAGAATTAAGATGCGCTTTCAGAGTCTGTTTCCTTGACAAACTTTTGTGACAAACAGGACAGATCCATACTGAGGTCCCCCTGCAACATTCTTCAATTTCTGCTTCAGTGAAGAAACTGTCTACCTGTACAACAATATTCATGACATCATATATAGGGTCATATAACATAACATGAACGCCTATTCATTTTGCTTATGTGGTTTATACATATTTATTTGTCAAAACTATTGGCAAACAAGCTAGAATTAGAAACTTATATTATGGCGCTCCAATACAATTTACAAAGGTAAACAAACCAAACTTTCCATACAAAATAATCACATGAAAAACCAAAGGGTAATGTACAATCAAAAGATAATTAATAATTCAAGAGCATTTTCATGATAACAACTCATATATCTTTTAAAGCTAACATGCAATTCTTCACCAGATTTGGTATCAAATCTACCAGAAGTTGTTATGAAGAGGTAAACACTGATTGTAAGATGGCTAATCTATCAAGATCAGATATTTCATATAGAATTGTCTTGAGGCTATGCCCATTTTTGTAATATAACGCATCATTTCTTAACACATAGTAGTTGGCCATAAGTGAGCCACCATTAGTGGAATTTCCATAGATTTACATCTTAATTAACAATTGCAAGAATAATATTCACAAATTGAGTAGAAGGCATTCTATTTTGATATTTTGCAAACATCTTGGAAATCATCTTCAGCTATGTGCATGTGCATAATTTCTTTCAAATTTTCATCTTTCTGTTGATTAGTTATCGAATGACACTTGATTAAGCACCATATGTAAGTACAACTTTTAATCTATCCCATAGACAGCCATGTTATACCTGATTGGTATGTCTAATATGTTGTATAATATAGTTGCAGTTTTCTTAATAATCATCGGAAAATACAATGTAAATTATGTGTATGTAGCTATGATTTCCCAGCTGGTGTAGATAAGTATTGAAAGCAATTCAAAACTAAATTCATATCAAAATTATTCTTGCAAGAGTTAATCAACAAGCAAGTCTATGTGAATATGACTCACTTATGGCCAACTGCTGTAGCATAGCTTGGACAGGCAAGAAGAAAATGTGGTGTATATTCACGAACGAGGACGGATCGTGTGAGAGTGAGACATGTCTTTCAAATTTATGATTTAGCTTGTGTAACTATTATCTGGTTACTATGAAAGTCCTATTGGAAGAAGAATCGTGGGAGATAGGACGGACAGAATATACATGTATATATTATAACGTGTCCAAATATATTCAAGAGCTCGTAGAATCCGAGGCTGCCACATCATAACAACATCGAAATGTACATGTCTTCTAAGAATATATCGCAATATCGAGTAGCAAACAAGACTATGTAGCATTTCTTCTCAAGGAAAATAGCTTTTAAGACATCTATTACATAAAAAGACTTACCTCTGACACTTCTTCATCCATTTTATCGTCCTTAATCGAACGTTTTCAGTCTTTATGTAGTCTGCACTTGGCGCCAAACCACAACCGGATGTGCGTCTTGTGCAAATTCCAAACAGTGCCAGCAATGCCATTTGTTAGGAGCTGCTTCGCATGATGCGGTGTAGCGAGAATTGATCGACTGGGTCTAAGAAAGTGCCAGCGCAGACTGCTTCCGACGGCAAATCCTTCGCTCTTCTATATATATGCTTATTTCACATCAACCATACTGTTTTCAAACAACGTACCTGCGGCTTGCATTTACACTAAAGTATATGTTTCAGCAAACGACGTTTGAAGTGTGTGTGTGTGTATATATATATATATATATATATATTACATAGAATATTATGCGTATTTAAACAGTGATCGTTATGTAACAGTAACAAAAATATTTTTCATCGGGTAGTAATTTCAGAATATATATACATATCCGTTTTGTGATGAGATTCTTGAGAGGTATTTAGAAGTTGGTGAATATATAAGACAAGTAAATGGATGGCAACTTTTGATTTATTGTGATGTTCCCTATCATACATCTAGAAAACCGAAATTGACCAATTGAATGCAAAATTTAATTGAAGAAAAAAAGAGAGATGCCTTATAGATGAATGTTGAGTGTGTGAGAGTATACCGTTTCACCCTTTACCATGAGTTTTCAATTTGGTTTAAACATATTTATTTCATGAAAAAGCATCCACAGAAATTTCATGAACTGGATTGGTCAACAAGCTCAAAAGACCGCTCCAATATACATAGATATATGAAACAGTAACATGACAAGAAAAGATTATATCTAATGAAAGTAGATGGTATGACATGTAGTCGGGAAATTAAAATCATGATGGTTGTATGCATTTAGGGCATTTGCAGTCGGGATCCATAGTACATGTAGTATAGCTTTGAGAATTATAGGTTTTTTAATTTCTTTTAAAACATACCGTTTCAGAACCGGCGCATTACCCGTTTTATTCTCTGTATGCAAGGTGACGGCCCGACACCGCGGAAAATATCAAATTATAGAGAACCGAAACCGAGAAAAAAGATCGTAAAAATCTGTTAAGTTGAAACCGATCGCGCAAAACTCCGAATGCCTGAATTCAATTAAAATAATTAAAATAACAAAACAGGTTGTATTTACACTTGACATTTATCATAAAACGTTGAACTTGTGTTTTCATTTCAACTCGGAGTAGTGAATACTTCCATTGCATGTTTGAACAGTTCACGCTGAACTGGTAAAGTTAAAAAACAACATTGGTTCGACATGGTGTTTTCATATCTAAGTAAAACACATATTTAAAATGCGCTTTTCGTAAAGTAATAGCAACACTGGTTCGACTTTATGTTTTCATTTCTAAGTTAGAAAACCCCGAATCGTGTGATATTTTGCGGAACCAACTCCCCTTTGGAACCGATTGAGCGAACACCTTTTTCCGTATTTGAAGAACGTTTCGCAGAATCGGATATAAACCTTATGCAACACCCTGAAAACACGTTTGGTAAGCTGCAGAATGTAGGTTGAAGGAATTTGCAATTCTTCCCCTATTCGGGGAATATATTTCAATTTGGTACCACAGTAGCAAAACATGTAAATTTCCTTTCGTATAGCATATTATTGGTGGTACCAGCTATGGTCCATTGCTTATATATTACTCGTCACACTTACAATGCAGGCCCTTAAAAATAGTTTCTAGTTTAAACGGGGACGGGTCACCCCGAAGTCCATTTCTAGAATATTGCTAAAAGCAGCGTAAAACTATAAACTCACTGACTTAACGGCGACGGGGATTATAATATGACTTTCGAAAGTGATTCACGACAATCAACAGTCAGCAGAATTTATTTCAAATGAATTTATTCCAAATGACCCCAAGTGCTACAGGGTTTGTATGAACATGTCTTTTTCAATATTTGAAAATCATCCAGTCCGACAAAACATGCAGGCTAATATACTCGTAAATCATTCAAAACAATGCACCTGTTTATAATGCTAAGTTATTGCCAGAACGGATTTCCTGACATAATACCCTGGTTAGAATGCTAAACTGGATACAATGCCATTTGCCAATGGTTTTGTAAGAAACTTCATTTCCCCCAATTACACTAGCTGCATACCTTAATTGGTTAATTGACTTCACTCAGATTTATTGACCAAACTCATTAATGCTTTTAGTGGTCATGTAATCCCAGATGTGTTAACACATGCACGTCACAATACACTTCCTGCACCTACAACAACAAGTCACCTGCAGCCCGCATAGATGCTGGGATTATCCTGACATTCAAGGTTCATTACAGGGGACATCAGCTCACTCAGCCTCAAACTGTCTTATTTTGTAATGATGCCACCCTGGACATAATGCCATATGTTCACCTGTACAAACTGTGGCATAATAATCAGGGTATACCGTGTAATAAAAAATACATACGAATCCGATAGGAATTAGCTTTCGATAACGTTTCGTAAATATAATATACTCAAATTAGAAAGTTAAAAAATATCTTAGAGAAATGTGACCAGGTACGTTTGGTATACATACAATTTACCTCATTGGGCTAAGTCTAGCTTTAGCTCTTGAACAGGCCACACGTTGGTTTAGTGTAATAGATGGACAAAGGTCACGGAACTTATTCCGTATTATTATCTAATGGATATATTTGCATTAGCCATATGTCACTTACGTCTCACAACATGTCTCAAATGAAATATCATTTTAGCTAATGTAAAGTCAATACGTGCTGTTAAAGTGCAAACCAAACTATCTCATTCTGTTAACTGGAAATATTCTCCAAGTCAGTGAAAAAATGTGATGAAACAAAACGATATTCGTTACGTGATGTTTTCTGCAGGAGTTTTGTTAATGTTTTACCCTTGTAAGGGAGCCTTTATCTTTTATAATTAAAATTGTTTACGAATTACGAATATAATAGCCCATTTGTAGTTGTTTGTTTCTATTGCTACTAAATGGCTGAGTACATGTTTGTGTGTTCAAGTTGGAGAGATCATTTACTATGCGGCTTGAGTGAGAGAATTTAAGATACATGCTAGAATTGTAGCTTACTCTCAAACATTGTGTGTGATGAAAATTTAACTAGTACAGAGCATACTGTTTAACCTTTTCAAACATATGTCCTTTCGTATGCAACAAATGTTTTTTGAGCAGTCACCATGCATGCGATAACTACTAACTCCGCAACTTTACCAATGTGGTGAATTGAATAAGAATCATCAGCAATCATTTTGTGCATGTAATTTTTGTGTATATTTCTGTGAATTTTGTATATATTCATTTTGCACCATTTTGATACAAAAAGAATGTTCTCCGGGATAATAAAGTTTTACCTTAAGCAAGGGCGGATCGGGGGGGGGGAAGAGGAGGGTTGTTTTTTTTAACAGGAAGTGTGATCTGCGCACGTCCGTATGAATTGGCGGTTCCATTTAAAGGCATCGACGGCCATGGGACCATTCTCCATTATTTGATACATTCACAGCGACTTGATACTGCCAGCGTACAACCAGTATGGTTATGTTTTATATCGTGTGCTACTTCGAAGACCAGTGCGTCTTGCTTGAGAAAGAAGAGGAATTAATTTTGGACCATGGACAGGCCGACGTAGGTGACACGGTGGCAAAAGCTTTCAAGACCAGAACTCTCGATGATTCCGGTTTTGAAAGATTAGTTGATGTCACCTATAGTGCAGTGGTGCTTTTCCGGTCACAGGGTAAGTATGATTTGAGCATTGTATACTATTTACTGTCAATAACTTTAACTGTCCCAAAAAATATACTTACACTTTTACGGCTAAGCATCTGACTTTCAGTACACTTCCTGTACAGGCATTATACAACTAAAACACATTGGCAAACAGGCCTACGTAATTTAGAAGATTGATTAATGAATGGTTGGAATAGTTTATTGACAGTATTTTCACTTTCGGACTATTTTCTATTGTCTCCAACTTCACGCAAATTTAAGTTGCATTTTATATGAAAAGTGAATATTTAAGTTCAATCACTAATAATGCTTAATTATTAGGTTTAGAATGTGCATTTGGCGATATGTGATTTACATTTTATATATATCAGTTGTATTATTCTGCAGTTATCACCTTCATTATATATGTGTACATTATGAGCTCGTTAGGGACTTCAATAAATAGTCAACTGTGCCAAATTCCCTTCTGTGAGCAATTGCTGAATGACCTGAAAGTGGTTTGTGACAGTCTGAATATTAGGATAAAACAGTTATGACATCGAACCAGAATATTTTATGCTGACAATACTTTCTTACAGAAAATATGATTCTGATGTATGGTTTCCAATCACAAGGTAAACAATAAGATCTGAGATATCTTTATGAACCTAGGTCCACCTTAGGGACCGTTCATAATTTATGGCTCGGGGAGGGGTGCGTGTGATGATGATTTTTATGGAGTAGCATGTACAATGTGAATGACCCCTCCTAAAATTAATGTACAAAGTAAGTGACCCCCCCTGCATGTCATGTACAAAATCAATGACCCCCTCCCCTTCCCATAATTTCTAAGCATAATTTTAAACATTTATATGTTCAAAATTCACACACACACACACACACACACACACACACACAAACACACACATGATCCCCAGAACAAAATGGGTGACCCCCCTTAAAATCATCATCACACACACACACCCAAGCGATAACTTATGAAGGTCCCTTTCAAACCCTTCATAATCTTCTTGTGTCTTATCATCCAAATCTTTTTTCAGACAGAAGCAGAGCGTGTGCCTTCAAAGCGAAATTGCAGAGGCATATGGCAAATACGAAAGCAGAAGGTGAAAAGTTCTTTTCTGCCATGGTGGATTTCGGAAAGGCACAGTTTTTGCTTGAGGCAAAAACAAAAAGAGGTGCCTCAGCAGGAGTACAGAAAGTTGTAGATGAACTTGTAACCTCACAGGTGAGTCTTCCAAGTTATGTTTCTATTAATTTTGATTCTGTTACGATTTGGCATAAGGTTTCTTATTGACATAAGTCACACTGAACCTGATGACTTTTTGAATATGATATTTTGTTTGTTTCCTACCTGTTCCAGACCATATGCTAAATCTGTCAGCAACAAGACCATCAGTTATTAAACCATATATGTCAGTGCATATAACTCTGATTAATCATTTTGATAACTGGCCATATTATTTTTCAAAATAATAGCTCTGTGCCTTTATAATTTCAGACTTCAGAGCCTGTGCGAAAAACTGCTGTCGGAAAGGAAGACAACAGAAAGAAACGACAAGTAAATAATGTCTCTCATTCTGATCATTTGATGCATGTGGAATGACTTGAAATAATCTCCTTTGTAACTTAAAAAAACATAGTGTAATTTTTTCTCTTAAACACTTGTATATAAGCCCTTATAATCTTGTTTATTTACCAATATTTTTGTCACTTTGTCTTCAGCTTTCTTGTTCTGAAGAGGTTTTAGAACCACTTACAAGCAGAAAAAGAAGCAAACCTCCTGCCAAACACCAAACTTCTAAAAAGGTAATAAAATGAAAATATACTTCCCATCAAAAGTTTAGACTCACTTAAAACACTCACTATATGTTACACATATATATGTGGTTACATCAAAGATTGATTTCTCCACTAACTTGGAACCAACTGCAAACCTTATGCAGATGAATTGCGCGAGGATCATGCATCAAGTTGCCGAAAAGCATGTGCAAATATCATGCATGTGAACAGCTGCGATTTGGTGTAAAGTCTTGTTTAGAATTCGCCAATTTTCACTGATTTTTATCATTTATGGAACTCATGAGAATACCGTTTTCAACATTACGAATTTGTTTTACAATACATCAGTTCATGTGTAAACAGTACCTTTAAACAGTATGGAATACTTTGCAGTATTTAGTTCAGAACAGTTGCCTGAAGTAAGTGGCTATATTTACACTAGTGAGTCTCAAGTTTTGATGGAATGTCTATAATTTAAGTGAGCTGCTTTTAAAATCAGAAATAAAAACAAGTCATTAATCTGTTAAATGAGGATCATAGCTTTACTAATTTTTCTCACTGTTTGCAGCAGCGTAAAGTTGATGGCAAAGTGGAGATAATGAAGAAAAAGGTAGGAGAGAGATGCTTGACATGATTTTGGAAATTCCGTAAATTGTGCAATCACACACTGACTCTGTATACCAAAGACTAATATCCTTTTGGCTAAGGCCTTATTTTGTTTAGTTTGGTTAGTTTTCAAAGCTTATCAACCAAAAAACAAAACAAATTAGATAACAAAATATTACTTTTGATCAGTTTTTGTATGTAATGAATATCTCCTATCTCAGGTATATGAAATATAAGTGATAATGAATTGACAGAAAAGAAAGGCTATATGTTGCAATTGTTTTGCAATCAGCAGAAGTATTAATCTGGAAGTTGAAATTTCTTTATTATTGTAGCGTTAGTAGGTTACTATAATGCAGTGACTTTGATAAAACTGTTTATTCTCTGTGACATTTCAGCACATTTAGAGCCCATAATAGCTATAGCTCTTTGTTTCATTCAGCTTGACAGTGTTGCTAGGAACATGGAGGTGGATGCCCTGGAGGAAGAAATGAGTGGAGCATTCTGGCTTGGAGAACAGAGGTACGTTGCATCTTGGATCATTTAGGATTATTAAATACATCTGCCATTTGAAATTAATTGATTTCCTAATTGGTTTAATCACAAATCAAAATAGATGGTGTAATATTGAGAGGTAGTTCTAAAAAGAAATTGAAAGAACTGTTTCATTGTCATTTGATTGGTTATGGGAAAGTTGTGTATAAATATATGTTTATAAAATTCGCCCAGTTGATCAGTTTTACTTCTCTGATCTGAAACCAATACTGTATTTTGTACTGGAGGTTTGGAAATGGAAAAGTTTGCATAATATTCCTGAAAATGAATCCAAGAAAATCTTAACAAACTTTGCTATTGATCATTATTGTAACATAATACATACCTTGACAATTTTAAGTACAAAACTGTTCTACTGTTACTCAACAACATGCTTGTAAACAAATTGTATTTGAAATTTCATTTTCAAAAGATTTCATGCAGCAGAAGGTATTTCACATTTTAAATTCAATCAAGACAAAGTCACCTGGATACATTGCATTGTCCATCTCAGCTGACCTGTGAAGATCCAGGTTAGAATTAGTCTTCAGCATTCCATGCTTGTTGTAAGAGGCGACTAATGGGATCAGGTGGTCAGGCTCACTGACTTGTAGGTTGACATGTTATCAATTCATGATTGCATAAATCGATGCTCATGTTGTTGATCACTGGATTGTCTGGTCCCAGACTCGAACATTTACAGACAGCCGCCATGTAGCTGGAATATTGCTCAGTGGGGTGTTAATATCTAACCAACCAAATCATCCTAGTCTTTCTGAAAAGTGGGTCCATCAGAGAATATTGTGGACTATACGAGTTCACTTACTTGTTCAACTTTCAGTACAGATAAGGGCAACAATTCGTTGCAAGGGGAAAACAAGGGAAACCAAATCAAGATCTGTTCAACATAGTAATTAAACAGTTAACATCCGTTCAGTATTAATTTGTAAAAAAAGATAAATAATATACTGTAAACAATACCAAATCCTGTCTTCCCCTGACTACTTGTACAGTGCACTATATTGTTAGTGTGCAAATGGTTGAAAGGCACGGAATGAGTACTGCATTGTGACATTTACATTTGTGTTAACACATTACAATAATCAAGGATAATGCTATTCATGCTTTGTAGGGGTGTTAAAGGGGGCCTATGTGTGAGACTGTATTGTTATTTAGTCAGGTTTAAATGGTCAAGTGAGCAATAAAGATAATCATGTGTTTTGATATCATTATCAATTAGTCTATCTCATGTCTTTTCAGTGAAACAGCTTCTTTTCATACTCCTGCCTCTGCTCTTCTTGATTCACTCACTTCTGCCCCGGTTCAGTCTACTTCTCACGTTCCTATTCCAGCACCCACCACTACCCACACTCCTGCCCCTGTCCCCTCCACCTCCCACATGCTCACACCTGTCCCCTCCACCTCCCACATGCACACACCTGTCCCTCCACTTCCCATGCAGGCACTGGCCCTCCCCTCCCACCTGTCCCTCCACCTCCCACATGCATGCACCTGGCCCCTCCCCTCCACCTGCACCTGGCCCTCCACCTCCCACACGCACACCTGGCCCCTCCACCTCCCACATGCATGCACCTGGCCCCTCCACCTCCCACACGCATGCACCTGGCCCCTCCACCTCCCACATGCGCACACACCTGGCCCCTCCACCTCCCACACGCATGCACCTGGCCCCTCCACCTCCCCCACATGCATGCACCTGGCCCTCCACCTCCCACATGCATGCACCTGGCCCCTCCACCTCCCACATGCATGCACCTGGCCCCTCCACCTCCCACACGCATGCACCTGGCCCTCCACCTCCCACCACACGCATGCACCTGGCCCCTCCACCTCCCACCACACGCATGCACCTGGCCTCCACCCTCCACGCATGCACCCACCACCTCCGCATGCACCTGGCCCCTCCCACCTACACGCATGCACCTGGCCCCTCCACCTCCCACACACGCATGCACCTGGCCCCTCCACCTCCCACCACACGCATGCACCTGGCCCCTCCACCCCCCACACTCATGCACCTGGCCCCTCCACATCCCACGCACCTGTTTCTTACACACAACCCCTTGCTCCTCCTTGCTCCCCTGAACCTTTCCAAAGTCCTGACTCCATCTGTTCTTCAGCTTTCTCTTCCCCGCATGCTCCATCCACTTCCTTCACTAACATGGATCACTCACACTCTGAATTTCTTTCACCTCCACATACTTTCAATACACCTTCCAACTCGTCTGGCTTTTATCGTTCTGTTCTTTTGGAGTCACCATCGGACTATGCAAGAAATTCATCATGCTGTGGACATTGTAACAGCATGAGGTTTGAAATTCAATACCTCCACCAGGCACTGAACTCTTTGGAGAGGGAGATAAAGGAACTCAAAGTTAGTTGATATATAATGTGTATTTGTGTAAAAAATGGTCTTATGATTCAAAATGATTTTGTAGAGTAAAGTTTAAGTGCATTATTACATTGTACATTTGTTAGTCATTTAATGGAGCATTGTAAAATGTTTCATGTCAAAGTAATTAGGAATGAAAGGCATTAAAAATAGTATCCCTGTGGCTGTTACCTGATGTTTTAATATTGGTAACATGATTCATTTTGATATTTTCAGAACTCCAGAAACACTGGACAATCTGGAGACGACAGTGTAAGTGCTCTATTTCATAATTTTACAGAGGCCCAGATAAGCTGCGTATCCGGGTAAAATATGCAAAGAAAATTTCCATTTACGCATTGAAAAATAATTGTTGCGTACCAATTACGCATTTAAAATGTTAAATACACAAAAAGTTGAAAACAAATGCGTACAGAATATATTTATAAAAATTGCTTGCATAATGAAAAAGACATTGATTGCTATCAAGTTGTACTGTGAGTATAGGACTAGTGTTGTACTGTCAGTATAGGATGAGTGATTTTTAATGAAATCATTTCCCTTATATTTAAGTTGGTTTTGATAAGGTATGGCATAAGGCAGAACATACCTGCTTAGTAAACTTACTCAATGACGTAATACTTAGGTGAGTAAAATGACTGGAATACGCAGTATTACGCACATATCTGAAAGCAGTGGGTAACGGAAAATGAAATACCCACTCAACATTCATAATACCCACTCCCAAAAAATACAGTGGGTACAGTACCCACATGAGCTAAATCTTATTGGGAGCTCTGATTTTACAATAATTTATGTATTTTTTAGTTCTGTTTTGAAGCAAAACAAATGTCATTTAATAAAGGAAATTGACATGTTAGTAAATGAGGGATGTGTACACTTTGTAGAACTCAAACTATTTTACATTGGCAGATACTTGTTGGCATCCAAATACTTTGATGTTGATTCTTCCAAGGGTACCTTGTATCGTGTATTCAAATCTGAACTTGAAAAATATCTCACATATATCCCTTTCTCCTTGGCTCTTAAATTTCTCTTGTTTAGAAGTTCCCACTATCGTTCACTTATAGAAGTAGGTAGGCACAAAATTCCACCCGAAGAAAGAATGTGTAACCTCTGCGAAGCGTGTGATGTTGGTGATGAATTTCATTACATTTTTCTCTACCCTTTCTTCAATCATCAGAAAACTTCTATCCCAAACCATTGTTTAAAAACCCAATGTTTTAAGATTTAACAAATTGTGTAACTGTAAATGAATAAGTGTTTTAAAAAAATTGTATATTTTGTAGTCCTATCGTAAAAGCTGTACAATCTTCCTTGTAAACCATCCCGCCGTCCCATGTGTCCTCAACTGTATATTTGTACCTGTTACGCCGAATATCCCGGCCTGAGCGTAATAAAAGTTCTGTTCTGTTCTGAAGGTTAAACAATTTTTGTGGATTGTGTCAGTGGAAGAACAGGTATTTGACATAAAAAAGATACTTCCGGTTTTTCTCTACTTTCAGTGCTGAGGGTTTGAATATGTCAGTGAAGAATATATTTACTTTCAGATTCCAGCAGAACATCAACAGAAGAAGCATGATCCACAGAACTATACACAGACGCTTTACAATGGATTTCTTGAGGTAGGCTGATGTTCTTCTTATGAAAGATGTTGTAATATTTATGCTTTTCTTTTGTTCTCTTTTACTTGCTTTACAGATTGTTTACAGAAATATATTTGTCACTAAAATGATGGGAAGAATGAAATCAATCCAGTATTTGCTTTAGCTTGCTGGTACACTGCAGAATGTCTGGGGTAAAAATGTAGAAATGGTTTAATGTGGAAGGAGAATGTAGGACAGTTGTTGTTTTAGGCAACACAAACCTGATGAATACAGTGGGAATTGTGATGTGCATCTATTCATCCTGACAATGTCATGAAAACAACAAACTTTATTTTCATTCCCATATCAAAATGTCAACTTCAGTAAGTCTTTGTTGAGAAAATATTTATTGGGGTGCAGTATGCACTCTGCTTATCAATGGGATAAGAAAAACTTCTGAATATTATTTTTCCATTTCAGAAAAATTACTGTCACTAGGTCCATAAAGCAAGTTAAAAATTAGGCCTGAGGTAGAAGAAATTACATTAAGAATGATGGTGTTGTGATTAATTCCTATTATTTTCAACAAGTTGTAGCAATATTAATGTAGGGCTCTTGTCTTCAGGAACAACTTGAAAGTCTTGCCATGAGGAAGAAATCACCTGGCTTGGCAATTGGATTACTATTTCGAAAGATGTTTTCCCTAGAAGAAATAGTTGGGAGGAGCGCGCGTCAGGCACAAGAGGGAAACCTGCCATTGATCAGACCAAAAAGGAGGCATTAGTTGGTGAGTAAATAAAAATGAATGAAACCATAACTTCAATGTAATTACCTGTTGATAATAATGCAACAGTTAAAACATAAAGCTGGGAGGGCCAACCATGATTTGAGGGGTGGTTAGGAGGTGTTTAAAACATGGTATTCCTACAAACCAAAACACATTGCACACGTTGATACAGGTGTTATTTTGAAGAAAAATATGTTTTCTGACACTTGTTAATTGTCCATAACAACATTGATTTGTTGAGCTGAAAAAACACACATTTTTTACAATTATAGAAATTTGAAAAAGGGATCAGAACTCATATTCCATGGCTTGAGTTTCACTTTTTCTTCCTTCTTTTCGTTCAATAGGGATCATTTTGAAGTGCTTTCCTGGTCGCTGCACTGAAGCTGATGTCCACCGAAAACTGGCAGACCTGCTCAAACCATCAAGATTCCTGGAGACAACTGATGAGTGATTTGTCTAGGCTTGCTCTGAGACCTGTATCCTTTTTTTACTTAGTTTATATTTAAATGTGATAAATTGTTAATATTTTCTGCTTTCTTTACATTGGTTTTTTTTTTACATTGTTTACAAATAAAAATTTCTTAAATTCTTAAATGACAGTTTTTGCCTTTTTTGTGCTGGATTCATTTGTTGTTTAAGGGACCCTAACCCTTTATACCTAAATGTTACACCTACATGAATTGTTTCATGAATTGTTTCGTGTAACCTGTTGCTTTTTTGTCTACAGTGTTACTTGTAATGAGTATGGTAAGATTGCGGTATTTCAGCAACAATCACTCGCGTCCGATTTTCTACTGCAAATAGTCATGCGGTAAACTTGCGGCTTTTCTGTGGAAAATATGCGGCAAATCAGCACCTACTCATGCGGCATTTCTGCGGTAAACTTGCGGATTTTCTACAGTTACAGTCATGCGGCATTTCTGCGGTAAACTTGCGGATTTTCTACAGTTAAAGAAAGTCATGCGGCATTTCTGCGGTAAACTTGCGGATTTTCTGCGGTAAATTCGTGCGGAATATCTGCGGCATTTTTGTGGTAGATTTGCGGCATTTTTGTGGTAGATTTGCGGCATTTTTGTGGTAGATTTGTGGCATTAGGGCCTCATGTTAATTTGTTTCTGTTTTCATGCCGCTAAAATTCCACATAAATGCCGCGTCCCAATACTCCGCATGTGTGGCAAAGTTGCGGCATTTGCATGCGGTAATTTCTGTGGAAAAACTGCGGATTACCGCATGTGTTGACTCCATGGAATTCTCAGGACATGAATTCATGGCAGTGTCTCCTCTACAGGGAAGACATCATCCATGCTGTATAATGTACACCAGGACATGAATCCATGGCAGTGTCTCCTCTACAGGGAAGACATCATCCATGCTGTATAATGTACACCAGGACATGACTCCATGGCAGTGTCTCCTCTACAGGGAAGATCCATGCTGTATAATGTACACCAGGACATGAATCCATGGCAGTGTCTCCTCTACAGGGAAGACATCATCCATGCTGTATAATGTACACCAGGACATGACTCCATGGCAGTGTCTGCTCTACAGGGAAGATTCATGCTGTATAATGTACACCAGGACATGAATTCATGGCAGTGTCTCCTCTACAGGGAAGACATCATCCATGCTGTATAATGTACACCAGGACATGAATCCATGGCAGTGTCTCCTCTACAGGGAAGATTCATGCTGTATAATGTACACCAGGACATGACTCCATGGCAGTGTCTCCTCTACAGGGAAGATCCATGCTGTATAATGTACACCAGGACATGACTCCATGGCAGTGTCTCCTCTACAGGGAAGATCCATGCTGTATAATGTACACCAGGGTGCCGTTCCACTAACCGATCTTAACTAAGATCAATCTTAGCAAGTTACGCCAATTTTACAATCGCCTTAGCTCAAAGTTACACCCGTTCCACTAACCGATCTTAGGCCGATCGTGGCGGGTCGATCTTCCACGATCCGATCCAAGCTTAGAGATCGAGACTCTTTCGTATGCGAGAGATAGAGGAATGCGAGGCAGCGTTATCTCCCTTTGCATAGTCTAGCAAATGATAGAAAGTAGTTTACGAACCAACTGAGTGAGTGAGTGAGTTTAGATTTACGCCGCACTCAGCAATAGTCCAGCTATATGGCGGTCTGTAAAATAATCTAGCTAAGATGCATAGCGTTCACTAACATGAGCTTTCATGTTAGTAAGCGTAGCGTATCTTAGCTATATAATATCGAGTCTGGACCAAACAATCCAGTGATCAACAGCATGCGCGTCGATCTGCGCAGTTTGGAACCGATGACATGTGTCAACCAAGTCAGCTTGAGCCTGACCACCCGATCCCGTTAGTGGCCTCTTCGACAGGCATGGGTTAATTATTGAAGTTCAATATTCTAACGGTCCTTCATGGGTATTTTTCCAACCAAGTGTAAGCGTGGAGAAAAACCTAGAGCAAAATATTAAGGGTACTAAGCACCTTGGTTTCAGGTGCAAGTCGCGTGAAACGCTGGGTATCAAGCATAATATAATAATAATAATTGCATATTTATAGTGCGCCTATTCCACATCAGTGGGCATGCTCAAAGCGCTGTGTACAGATCTATAATTTACGCGAGAATATTTACAGCCGAGATTATAAGTAATATCCTGAGAACAGGTTTTAAGTCTGTCAATTGTGTCAGAGCTTTTAATATGTGCCTGAACCTTGTCAATCAGAATAAACAAGGCATTGACGAGGCTATAGCATTATGTAGAATCTGTCAGTGGTCTTGAATAACACGCCTGCCTTCAGAATCCCCCACCAAATATGCGCAGTGAAATCAAGCATATTTGTATCTTTGCTTCAGAACATTGTTCACTTCACGGCTGTCCCTATTCTTAACCATGGCGTTGCAATATTGTTGTACAAATGTGTTACACCGACTTCGCTTCGGTTGTGTTCCCCATGGCGACAGTGGTCAGACTGGCCTGACATTTGTAAAAGGCTTGTTCAGCGCAGTGTTTGTTTACATCACAGAAATATACAAATTCATTTCATGGGGGGACTTTAGGGGCGCGCTCCGCGGTTAAATGCTTTCGCTCTTATTTTTTCACATAGAATAGGAAAGCCACCATTTTGGTTTCTCTCACGATTGATTTTAGCTATCCTAAGTTGGTCATGAGCAACTTAGACTTTGAATCTTAACTTTACGATTGACTTAGGTAAGATTGCTTGAGTGGAGCGGTATGCCGATAAATAGCGTCACACTAAGATTGGGATTTTAGGGGTTTACGATTGGCATAGGGCTAAGATCGGTTAGTGGAACGGCACCCAGGACATGACTCCATGGCAGTGTCTCCTCTACTGGGAAGATTCATGCTGTATAATGTACACCAGGACATGACTCCATGGCAGTGTCTCCTCTACAGGGAAGATCCATGCTGTATAATGTACACCAGGACATGAATCCATGGCAGTGTCTCCTCTACAGGGAAGATTCATGCTGTATAATGTACACCAGGACATGACTCCATGGCAGTGTCTCCTCTACAGGGAAGATTCATGCTGTATAATGTACACCAGGACATGAATTCATGGCAGTGTCTCCTCTACAGGGAAGATCCATGCTGTATAATGTACACCAGGACATGAATCCATGGCAGTGTCTCCTCTACAGGGAAGATTCATGCTGTATAATGTACACCAGGACATGACTCCATGGCAGTGTCTCCTCTACAGGGAAGATCCATGCTGTATAATGTACACCAGGACATGAATCCATGGCAGTGTCTCCTCTACAGGAAGATCCATGCTGTATAATGTACACCAGGACATGACTCCATGGCAGTGTCTCCTCTACAGGGAAGATTCATGCTGTATAATGTACACCAGGACATGACTCCATGGTAGTGTCTCCTCTACAGGAAAGATCCATGCTGTATAATGTACACCAGGACATGAATCCATGGCGGTGTCTCCTCTACAGGGAAGATCCATGCTGTATAATGTACACCAGGACATGAATCCATGGCGGTGTCTCCTCTACAGGGAAGACATCATCCATGCTGTATAATGTACACCAGGACATGAATCCATGGCAGTGTCTCCTCTACAGGGAAGATTCATGCTGTATAATGTACACCAGGACATGAATTCATGGCAGTGTCTCCTCTACAGGGAAGATCCATGCTGTATAATGTACACCAGGACATGACTCCATGGCAGTGTCTCCTCTACAGGGAAGATCCATGCTGTATAATGTACACCAGGACATGAATCCATGGCAGTGTCTCCTCTACAGGGAAGATTCATGCTGTATAATGTACACCAGGACATGAATTTATGGCAGTGTCTCCTCTACAGGGAAGATTCATGCTGTATAATGTACACCAGGACATGACTCCATGGCAGTGTCTCCTCTACAGGGAAGATTCATGCTGTATAATGTACACCAGGACATGACTCCATGGCAGTGTCTCCTCTACAGGGAAGATTCATGCTGTATAATGTACACCAGGACATGAATTCATGGCAGTGTCTCCTCTACAGGGAAGATTCATGCTGTATAATGTACACCAGGACATGAATTCATGGCAGTGTCTCCTCTACAGGGAAGATCCATGCTGTATAATGTACACCAGGACATGACTCCATGGTAGTGTCTCCTCTACAGGGAAGATCCATGCTGTATAATGTACACCAGGACATGAATCCATGGCAGTGTCTCCTCTACAGGGAGGATCCATGCTGTATAATGTACACCAGGACATGAATCCATGGCAGTGTCTCCTCTACAGGGAAGATTCATGCTGTATAATGTACACCAGGACAAGACTCCATGGCAGTGTCTCCTCTACAGGGAGGATCCATGCTGTATAATGTACACCAGGACATGACTCCATGGCAGTGTCTCCTCTACAGGGAAGATTCATGCTGTATAATGTACACCAGGACATGACTCCATGGTAGTGTCTCCTCTACAGGGAAGATCCATGCTGTATAATGTACACCAGGACATGAATCCATAGCAGTGTCTCCTCTACAGGGAAGATTCATGCTGTATAATGTACACCAGGACATGACTCCATGGCAGTGTCTCCTCTACAGGAAGATCCATGCTGTATAATGTACACCAGGACATGACTCCATGGCAGTGTCTCCTCTGCAGGGAAGATCCATGCTGTATAATGTACACCAGGACATGACTCCATGGCAGTGTCTCCTCTACAGGGAAGATCCATGCTGTATAATGTACACCCAGGACATGACTCCATGGCAGTGTCTCCTCTACAGGAAGATTCATGCTGTATAATGTACACCAGGACATGAATCCATGGCAGTGTCTCCTCTACAGGGAAGATTCATGCTGTATAATGTACACCAGGACATGACTCCATGGCAGTGTCTCCTCTACAGGAAGATCCATGCTGTATAATGTACACCAGGACATGACTCCATGGCAGTGTCTCCTCTACAGGGAAGATCCATGCTGTATAATGTACACCAGGACATGACTCCATGGCAGTGTCTCCTCTACAGGGAAGATCCATGCTGTATAATGTACACCAGGACATGACTCCATGGCAGTGTCTCCTCTACAGGGAAGATCCATGCTGTATAATGTACACCAGGACATGACTCCATGGCAGTGTCTCCTCTACAGGGAAGATTCATACTGTATAATGTACACCAGGGACAAATGGACATTTTCAAATATATTTGTCCTTTCAAACTGGGGTTCATCACTGGGAATGAAAACAGACATATATCGCATCTTATAGTCATCTTTTCTCAATACAAAAACCACGTACACCTCTCCTTGGCAACGGTCGGACACTGATGTTGTCGAGGGTCATGACATTTGCAGCTCGGATGATGTCAGTCTGGTAGTTGTGTTCTCGATCTATTGGGTTTCCCTGAAACACACAAAGTGAACATGATGGTAAAGTTCCCCTATCATCCAGTGATCTGGGGGAGAGAGCAGGGTCTCAGACTGGAAGGGTTCAATAGTGACATAAGATATAACAGGTTTTTGTTTGTCTGTCTGTGTTGTTTGACTCACATGTAAACTGACCACCAATCTGACTCACATGTAAACTGACCACTAGTAAGACTGACATGTAAACTTAGCACAAGTCTGACTCACATGTAGACTGACCATTAGTTTGACTCACATGTAAACTTAGCACAAGTCTGACTCACATGTAAACTGACCTCTAGTCTGACTCAAATGTAAACTGACCTCTAGTCTGACTCACATGTAAACTGACCACGAGTCTGACTCACATGTAAACTGACCACTAATCTGACTCACATGTAAACTGACCTCTAGCCTGACTCACATGTAAACTGACCACTAGTAAGACTCGCATGTGAACTGACCTCTAGTCTGACTCACATGTAAACTGACCACTAATCTGACTCACATGTAAACTGACCTCTAGTAAGACTCGCATGTAAACTGACCTCTAGTCTGACTCACATGTAAACTAAGCACAAGTCTGACTCACAAGTAAAACTGACCACTCGTAAGACTGACATATAAACTTAGCACAAGTCTGACTCACATGTAAACTGACCTCTAGTCTGACTCACATGTAAACTGAACACAAGTCTGACTCACATGTAAACTGACCTCTAGTCTGACTCAAATGTAAACTGACCTCTAGTCTGACTCACATGTAAACCGAACACTAGTCTGACTCACATGTAAACTAAACACCAGTCTGACTCACATGTAAACTGAACACTAGTCTGACTCACATGTAAACTAAGCACCAGTCTGACTCACATGTAAACTGAGGACCCGCAGCCATGTCATCTTCTGAAGGACGGCAGTGACACTGTCCAGTTCCTTCAGCTCGTTCTCGGCAGCGTTGAGCATCCGAAGATGGAGACAGCTGGTGATCGGCACTATACTCACCTGGAGGGGCGGGATTACAGTATCAGTATACAGCTGGCTTAACAAACAAAATCAGCACAATGATTTTGTGTTGGTTCATTACACTAGCATTTAAAAGATTCCATATACATATGATGCTTTATTCAATCTCATACGAAGAGGGTGATGGGCTAATGTGCTGGAATAACACTGGCTCAGACAACCAACGATGCAATTAGATTTTCACTCTTTGAATCTCACAGCAAGCTTTTCACTGGAATCAAGTGAAACTGAGACTTAAGTAAATACATCAGACACAGGTGTGTCAAGTAATCAGTGACACAGGTGTGTCAAGTAATCAGTGACACAGGTGTGTCAAGTAATCAGTGACACAGGTGTGTCAAGTAATCAGTGACACAGGTGTGTCAAGTAATCAGTGACACAGGTGTGTCAAGTAATCAGTGACACAGGTGTGTCAAGTAATCAGTGACACAGGTGTGTCAAGTAATCAGTGACACAGGTGTGTCAAGTAATCAGTGACACAGGTGTGTCAAGTAATCAGTGACACAGGTGCGTCAAGTAATCAGTGACACAGGTGCGTCAAGTAATCAGTGACACAGGTATAAAGTGAAATGCCATTTTCAGTTTTTTTAAAGGTCACATGCAACGTAAAACACAACTTTGCAGATTCTGATACCTTTCGGTATGGACTTACCGAAACAAATCATCAAAATGCAAATTCAACTTATAAAGTTGAAAAATAACGCGATGAAAAAAAACACACGAAATCGGAGTTCAAACGATTCACTAATTTTCCCCCAGAGCTTGCGGGAAAAGTGGTTTCAACAGCTGGGCTGCGCTGCGCTCATAACACATGCGCAGTGAAATAGGTTCCCGCAGCCTGGAAGCAGGTTATCCGGTGAATATTCGGTGTGAGCTATTTTTCTAATGTTTTGTTGATATTTCACAGGTGCGAGCTTTTTATATGTTATGACAGTAGATTACCGATTTAACTGTTTATATTATTTCATTTGTCTATTTCACCACACATTCTTCTTACTGAGTCACTTTCTCACTTCGATACTTAAAAGCAATGTCATTATTTAGCGTTTACAGAATTTCTAACTGTGATATAGCTATGTCGTTGTCACAGACAAAACTCAATGTCCGTTTTATTGGCACCTATGTGTCTGCCTGCCTGTCTGCTAATGACAATATTCAATACACAACTTCGATCACTGACCACATGCAATTTGAACTTAACACCTATCAGGCTATACACCATAAGCAAAACGCATTGATTTATGGCCCGAGTTCGGTCTCTGTCACATTATGTCATTACACAGACAGGCAGGTGTGATACTTGTACACATGACATGTTATGATGTCTGTCGATTGCAAAATGTTTTACACAAAAAATGAGCATGTATTTACAAAACCCAACATCTCTCTATATATATACACACACAATGAGCCATGAGGGCATCTGCAAGTGAACCAGCCGTTACACTTGAGTGCACACCCACCTGCTCTGACTGGGTTCGGTGTCCCGGCTGCTTCGTTTCATGGGAAGTAAACCCAAGTACAAAATATTGCACTTTTGATTTGCGATTGTACGCTTATAATTTTGTTTATATGTTTTTTCATAATCAGCAATGTATACTATATGCCATGAATAAGTGATAATTGTGTTTTAATTATGTATGATTTTTTGGTTGCATGTGACCTTTAACAAAATCATCTTTATATTTACCAACTGATTTCTCTGAACATTGAGCTCTTCCAACTTGGGTAAAGATGACAGTCCCTCCAAGCTAATCAGCTGCAACAGGACCATGATGAGGATGAAGATGGTTACATTAGGACTGAGGTTTGGATTTGAGTTGCTCACGTTCATACTGCTGAGGTGGATTTTTATACACAGAGTTTGAAATCCATATACCGTAAACACTATATTAAGCACCCTGCTTCAATACTCACAGGCCACTGTCTTAGTATGGTAGTACATGAAAATGTACAGCAAAAATGTTTCAGTCTTATTGAGGTTACCCATCCACCCAGCTTCTCAGCTCCCCTCACTCACTCACTCTCACTGCTTATCTTCAGGATCCAAGTAACTTACTTTGTTACTGCTGAGGTTTAGAATCCGTAGGTTGATGAGACTTGGCAAGCTTGAAATGTCTCGAATTTCATTCATACTCAAATCGATTTCGACTAGAGACGAACTTGTTGTCAGTCCATCAATGTGCCGCAATGCATTGTGGGCCAGATTAAGGCTGAACAAATGATGCAGCACCTCAATGCCCTGGAAGCTGAAAACATACACAGGCTTAAATATCTATAGTTCAGCTTTTGAAGACTTTATTCGTACATTCTATTTTGTATCATGTCATATGTATCAACATTCCAGACAGTCTCGGTCTGACATCACTTTGAATAAATCTGCCGTGGTGTGTTGTCTGAGTTCCGTGTGTCTGTCTTTAATCAGCCCAACAATGAAGCTGCTTGAAACTTGCCTGTCTAATCTCATGCATAAACTTTGTGCGAACCATGCATGGCCTGATACTGAGAGGAAGGAAATGGTTCTGAACCCAATACTCCATCATAATCAGCAAGTGTAACAACTGGAATAATTTCTACTCTGGACATTTGCTCACGTACTGTACGCAAAGTACCTTTACCACAATTGGTGTCTGATTGGCAAATATAATATATATGTTTAGGGACTGTTCATAATATAGGGCTAGGTGGGCGATAATGATTTTTATGTAGATGCATGACACACACACAAGCAAATGCACGCATGCCATGCAGTCGCATGCACACACATTAATTACGAACAGTCCCTTAATTCACTTCCACAAATGATTAATTAAAATGTAACATGGTTGTATGGTTCCATTATAGGCAAGTGTTTCCATCAACTTGATCTATGTAAAGTAGATTAAACTGCTATATCTTCAATCACAATCCAATCAAAGGGAGATAACCTAGCAATGACAAATGCATTGTGTTTTTCAATATAGCAACAGTATGCATAACTGGTGTGGATTCAGTCAGGATACTTTATGTTACTGAAATCTATGAGGCACATGGTCTTAGTTCAATATGTTGGCATACCGTGTTGGCATGCAGGGTGATCATACAGTGTTGGCATGCAGGGTGATCATACAGTGTTGGCATGCAGGGTGATCATACAGTATTAGCATGCAGGGTGATCATACAGTATTGGCATGCAGGGTGGTCATACAGTGTTGGCATGCAGGGTGATCATACAGTGTTGGCATGCAGGGTGGTCATACAGTGTTGGCATGCAGGGTGATCATACAGTGTTGGCATGCAGCAATGCAGGGTGATCATACAGTGTTGGCATGCAGGGTGATCATACAGTGTTGGCATGCAGGGTGATCATACAGTATTGGCATGCAGGGTGATCATACAGTATTAGCATGTAGGGTGATCATACAGTGTTGGCATGCAGGGTGATCATACAGTGTTGGCACAGTGTTGGCATGCAGGGTGATCATACAATGTTGGCATGCAGGGTGATCATACAGGGTTGGCACCGTGTTGGCATGCAGGTGATCATACAGTGTTGATCATGCAGTGGTTGGCATGCAGGGTGATCATACAGTGTTGGCATGCAGGGTGATCATACAGTATTGGCATGCAGGTGATCATACAGTGTTTAGCATGCAGGTGTGGCATGATCATACAGTGTTGGCATACCGTGTTGGCAGGGTGATCATACAGTATTGGCATGTTGGCAGGGTGATCATACAGTATTGGTCATACATGTTGGCATGGGTGATCATACAGTGTTGGCATCATACAGGGAGGGTGATCATACAGTGTTGGCATGGAGGGTGATCATACAGTTGGCATGGAGGGTGATCATACAGTGTTGGCATGCAGGGTGATCATACAGGGTTGGCATGTCATACAGGGTGATCATACTGTGTGGCATGCAGGGTGCAGTGTTGGCATGCAGGTGATCATACAGTGTTGGCATGCAGGTGATCATAGTGTTGGCATGCAGGGTGATCATACAGTGTTGGCATGCAGGGTGATCATACCGTGTTGGCATGCAGTGGTGATCATCATACAATGTTGGCATGCAGGGTGGTCATACAGTGTTACAAGGTGGTCTAGTGTTGGCATGGAGGGTGGTCATACAGTGTTGGCATGCAGCTGTCATACAGTGTTGGCATGGAGGGGGGTCATACAGCGTCGTCAAACAGTGTGTACTGTGGTCATTACTGGTCATAGGGACAGGCCACAAAACAAGACATTAAACTGGTAAATGTATGAATATCAACAACAGGTAACATTCTCTCCCTCTCAGCTGGGATCCAAACAGGCAAACTTCAGGACATGTGGCTGACACTTCCTGAGGACAACCACTTCTACCCCTAAAGATGGCAACTCAGTAGCAGATCATTCTGCACACTTGTGAACAAAAACAATATTTCTATATCCTGTTTAGTTGTAAACAAACAGCAACAAAGGCCACCTACTTCTTGAGTTTATTGAGCGATGCATCCAGCTCGCGGAGGTTACGGAAGGGGAGGAGACTGTCGTGGGGAAGGAAGCCTAGCTCGTTGAGACTCACATCCAGACGGAGGATACGTTCTGGAGCGTCAAGGACAGAGGGTTGCCTCGGCAGGAAGCCCTCTCTGTAGATAAGAATGAACACTGACAACTTTTTGAAGCAGATATTTCTAAACAGCATTAATGTGACCTGGGTGAGAATTAATTAGTTCAGACTTCAATCAATTATTGTGGGTTTTATTATGTTAATACATAATTAATATCAGACATATTACATACAACTGAATTCCACAAATTTTCATATGATACACCAAGGAAGTGAGTGAGTGAGTTGGGTTCAAATCATAATGTACCGGTATGTCAACAACAGAAACATGCCATGTTCTGTATCTTATTTTCCTACTTAACTAAGCAGCATATAATACAATAGCATGGACGAAAATATGACGAAGAAGAAAAGTGTTTCCACTGTATACTGTGTGTTTTATCTGGTGGCAGACAGCAGAAAGTGGAACAGAATCTAATTTAGTGATTGTTGGTTTGATTGATGTGGGTTTCATGTGCCAACATCTACAATATATTTGGGCTTTCTGGGTTAGAATTGGTCTTCAGCAATCCATTCTTGTCGTAAGAGTTAACTAGCAGGATCAGGTGGTCAGTTTCGCTGACTTGGTTGACACATGTCATCATATTCAACTGTGTTTGATCGCTGCATTGTCTGGTTCAGACTTAATTCTTTACTAACTGCCGCAATATAGCTGGAATTTTGCTGAGTGTAGCATTAAACATCAAACAAAACTTCTCACTGCTAACGATCTGAAAGGCAACAGCATTTATGTCAAATTAGTCATTTATTTTTTCATAACGAACCAGTGACCACAAGAACATTCCCTATCACTGGTAATGTTATTATATTGTTAAGCATTGTGAGAACTCACTAACAAGATAGCTGCTTTAAGACTTAGACAAGTACTGCCTTCTGCCGGTTTAACAGTTTACAGATCAGAAATTGATCTACATGATACACTGAAACACATCGCTGTGAAGAGTTACCTTTCCTTGCCCCATTCAAAGCTGAAGACGAGGGACTTCACCTGGCACATCTTCAAGTCAAGCTGGTACAGTGTGCGATTAGTTGATGCGTTCCACCCATCTGGCACTGTTGTCAGCCGTGAGATGCGGCGTTCAACAAACTCAGGTGTTAAATACGTCCCCATTATTCTCTAAGGAATCACAGGTCTCTACACTAATACTGCAGCACCGCCTCACATTCTTCTCAGGCACCAAGTGTTACTTGGGAGTGTGTGTGTCCTCCATGTTGAACATCTGAAACACAGTTGTAGCACCAGCTTGTTTTCACAAAATAACAGCTTATCAGAGTTTTATGAATCTTACACAGCATTACTGGCTGTACCTACTGGTGAAGACAACTATGTCCTCCCCTCTTTCTTTACATGATGAATACAATCACACACACACTCCAACCTAAAATTCATTTGTCTACAAATGCCTTGTATGAAGATGCTTTTGAAAGAACCTTATATATATATATATCTCCATCCTCACCTTAAAATACTTGGGTTAACACCTAAAAAATAATTCATTGCGTCCTAATATGGAAAATTTATGGCTTCTTACACATGTGAAAGGTTTTATCATGAGGATATTCTGACCCATGGTGTACCGTTCTTTATGCCACACAGAGACAACAAAGTTGACAGCTGAATCAATGGTCTCTGTACATCTTTTTAATTGGCTTTTAGCTTTCCCTTCATTTATCTGATCTTACTTAAGTGAAAGAATTATTTATGAAATTGAAGTTGAAATTTTATTTTAATGCCAATAATCTACAAAAGTGCTGTTCCTCCTACTGTTATGCCTCCTGTAAAGATGACATAGAGCATGATAGTTTCTTAAACAACTTTTTTCTAGTGATTGGTACAGAAAAACACACAGCAGAACTTTATTGTTGGATACAGGGTATTCATTGATATGTACCATACTGTCATTCACTAGACGCCGCCATAGCTGGAATATTGCTGAGTGCGGCGTAAAACTAAACTCACTCATTCACTAGACTATATAACAACATATCCAGAAGGACTGAAAACACCTTGAGGCAGCAATAGAAAGCTAAACCGTATTCCTCAGTAGCCTTTCACTGCCATTTGTTTTGAGTAAGGGATACCGATACCCACGAAAGTGCAGGTGCGTCTTATCATGACTACAAGTATCATAATAATAGCTTGATTGTATTTCGATTAAGCACACATAACTGGTGCATGTATAATGTATCACCAAAATGTTAATTAGATTGTGAAACATTTACTTGTGTTTATTCAAAATGAATGTAGAAAAGCGAGCTTGGATCATCTACGTGTCTTACCACTCGCTGTTTCTAAGGAAAGCGTTTTCAAAGGGGAACGACTCTTCTCCAACTTCCGTATTACAAACTCCGTACAGCGCGTTGAATAAAGGGCGTAGTGAACCCTACGCTCTACAGCAAACTCGATGTCAGTACGTCAGTCATGTGTACGTCAAAACTGATTGTAAAATTTGAAAACGCAAATTAAACCTTATTTTGGTATAAGAGAAGAGAGTTAAACAGTTTCTGTTTTCAAGCATTAGAATTGGTGAGGTGAGATGAAATGGGGTTTGACATCATTTTTAAGTTTAACTTTGCCTGCACGTTAGCCGAGAGCCGCGATGCGGTCCTATACAGTGCAGGGTCGTAATGTGACTGTATAGGACCGCATCGCGGCTCTCGGCTACCTGCACGTGTACTGTACATATGATTTACTGCCTGTATTTAAGCTTACCATAACTACCATACAACATGTGGCTGTGGTGAGTAGTACAACAACTGACAGGGTGTCCACCAGTTCTGGCACAAATCAGATGTATATACACAATAGCTATATTAGGTTTATTTTTGTTCCCGACTGTGTTGTCAGTGGACAACTATAGGAGCTATGGCATATAGTATAGTGGATCATATTTTCATCCTCTGTTGAGTTGTTAAGTTGCTTCTGCCATTATATAAATACAGGCAATCATACCTTAGCGTAGGAATGCTCATGTGTGAAACATGCTTAACACAATTAACACAATAGTTCATTTGCTGTGAATGCGCCGAGCACATTGAGGTATAAAATTTGATATTTGCAGTATGTGCACTGGTTTAGCAGATGACAGTACTAAAACTGAACTTTTCTCGACATGGAAAGACTTTCAGAAAGTACATGATGGTTGGTTATTATGAGGCATGACACAGGGATGTCGTGTCTTGAAATAGCTGTTAACTTGAACATTAATCACACACTTATTTGTTGACTTGCAAGTGGTCACTGGTAAAGTAAATGTTAGTCCAGGGCCTGGCAGACCATCAGAAAGAGGCTGCTGGTCAGAGGAAATGTCTTCCAATCTGACAACCATTTCTCACAGACAGGCACATGCAGGAACATCTGGGGGGCACAGGCTCCGAGAAAACCTTGACCAGATGGTGTAGAGTTCATTGGTGAGAGAAGGTCGCTATCTTCTATGCGTTGCCAACTCCCATTGTCGCATATGGAGACATTGTAAGGAAGCATATCACCTGGAGATGATCTATACAGCGAAGCCTTGGTGGTGGCTCAGTTAGGGTGTGGAGTTGGGTTTTTTTATGGCTGGAGATGGATCTCTTTACTTTAACTGGGTCACTCGATGGTCAACATATCAACAGGAAGTACTGGATACCGCCATCAAGCCTCATTTTGATAACCATCCTCTTTCCAATCATCTGACATTGATGGATGACAACGCTAGAATTCACTGTTCTTGGGCGGTCATCGCCAATTTGGTTCCCAGCAGTCTGTGCTTGTAACCAGGCCATTTAATGACTTAAGGTACAAAAATCGGTGAAATGGTTCATGACAGCTCATTGTTCCACATATTAACATATCCTTTTAGTGAGAATTATTACAGAGCTAAACCGCCGCTAAGTATTCATCAACAAACACTAGGACACTTTAGTCATAGAAGCATAGATTTTATTGACATAAAGATTTCATGTGTTCTCCGAGGTGCTGAAGTGATGAAGTTTACCATGATATCCGACACTGGCCCCCCAAATAAGGGTCAGAAAATTGGCACAGCCAAAGTGATTTAAATAGATTACATTGTGATCTAGGATGCCGTCCGAGATTTCTCTAGTCGGCACATTGGGTTGTCGTGAACCATCTGAAGATTCACTCGTGGTCCAATCAGATCACGGATGTTGTTGATGCCATACTTTATCATTGTTGGTCTGGAACAAATATGTTCATTGTTAATCATAACAATTAGGATTATTTATGACAGCAAGATCCAATGAACTTCTTTGAGAGGCATTTAGAAGTAGGATCAATAAGGAAGGATGACAATATATGGATACCCGGTATGTAATAAAGAAGCTGTACATCCATATATTGTCCAAGCAAGAAAGTCAAATTAACCAGAACCATGCTGAACACTGAGCCTGACAAGCCATCACGGAGACACGGCCTTCAAACTGTCCTCTTGTACAATTGTTGTATCCCAGCGACAACTTCAAGATATCAGTACACCACTGTTTACCTTTCTAGAGACAGTCCCCAGGCGATGACGGAGACATCAGGAGGCAGCCCCATCGGCAGCAGCATCTCCGGTCTGAACACCCCCGAGTTGCCGATCTCCACCCACTTCTCCAAGCCTAACAAAAACAGAACAAGCAACACTCAGCATATGTGTCTGTCTAGTTTCAAGGCCATGGGGTTCTCTCACTTGTAAATGCCGTGTGTCCAAGCCTAGACCTCCGTGGTCCCAGTCAGCAATTTAACACTGTACACAATACATCGGTAACCATGGAAATTATCTACAAGACATCACAAAATCTCAAATCACTATAGCTGTAATGTGTGACGTAGAACAGATGTAATCATTATCTTACCAGTGCTTGGTAGGGATTGATGGTATGACATGTACAGGGTGTCAAGCACGAAAGAGATTAGAGACAATACATGAATATAAAGAAGTGTTGGCACTTTATTATCTGTTGTGTTACAAACAAAACTATAAAAGCATTATGGTAAGAGAAATGTTAGTTTTACACTGAAGTATTGTTTCAGGGTGGCGTTACCTTCATGGTAGCTGAAGATCTCCATGCTGGGCTCTGTGTAGGGGTTGTATGCTGGCTTGAAACGCAGTTTCGTGATACCTGTAAAACAAAATGAGAAATAAGCTTGACCCCCAATAAACATCTGCCTCCTACACTGTCACTTAGGGACTGTTCATAATACATGGTGGGCTGAGAGGCGGGGTGATTTAAAGGTGGGGCGTCACCTATTTTGTTCTGGGGAGGTAGGGGGTCATCAAGTTACAAACCAAAACAGTCATCAAGCAACAAGCCGCACGACCTAGAATCACACAAGGACAAGCAATCAATTTAATTGTTCATGACATCATTTGTTATCAGCTATCACATTTGTCAGTTATCATCTCACTGTAACAGGCTAAGAAGTGAACTGACTACAGGTACTGAACGAGACACTTACCCAGCTTGAGGAAGAAGGCGTGTATTATTCCCATCAGGTCCCCGGGTGTGAGTCCTCTGTCGGCCACCACGCCCTCTATCTGGTGAAACTCGGCCAGGTGGGTGGCGTCCAGGTTCTCGTTGCGGAAAACTCGGTCAATGGAGAAGAGTTTCACTGGCAGGGTGTTCTGGAGGGATGGCGAAACACATAATAGTCAATATTGTACTTTGTCATTTTTCTCATTATCAGATGATATCTGTTCTATTGTGTTCTCAACTAAATTCTAAATTCTCCCAACCTTGTATCTGTCATTAGGGATATAGTACTTTCAGGAAAGATGACCCCATGATGATGTCAATAAACTATACTACACAATAGTTGTTAGGATTTCCCATCTAACACCGGTCTGTTATGTGAGTGTGACACTCAAGGTGATGCAGGTGTATGCCAAGAACACAGGCATGGTGCTGGCAAACCAAGTCATAATTTGGGATTCAAACACAGAATCAGCAGATCCTGGCATAACAAAGAGACTGAAGGCTGCAAAGCTGTAAAACTATTGGGCACCAAACATTGTCTATTATAAATAATTGTCAGTTTCCTTTTCCTTACAGATCCAAGGGACTATAATCATA